TCAGGTTTATATTTAGGGATCCTCGACATAGGATTTCCAAGTTGTAATGGAGTACTGTATTAAATAAAGGATGGATGGATGTTGTATTATTTAGTGTTCCTTTCCTGTCTAAATTCTTTTATTATCATCATTTTGTATTCCATGCTTGTATATTGCCAATTGTTTTTGATATCCCTCGTTTTTCGTGTATAAGCCTGATCAACTTATGCGTGGAAAATGTTGGGGGTGTCACAAGACAATCTCTTGAAGTCAACACAGCTTCTTTCCAAAACATTCTCTTTAAACCTCTCTATAAAGTTCCAATAATTTATCTCATTTCCCCTAGAAATCTTTCTCCAGAAATATCTCTCGTCTCTATATTTCTCTCTCTAGATATTTCTGGCAATCCAACGGACTTTGTAACTAGTACTAGTATAAATTGGAGAAATGAGTCTGTATTTGTGTATAGAGAAGTAGAGAGTAACTTGCTGTGAATGAGTGTGAGTGGGTGAGTCCATTCGTTTTGTGATCCAAAATGGTATAACAAAATTCACGTAGCTTTGCAGCGGATGCGCTGTTATAGTGATTTTTCAAACTCGTATGATTTTTTGCGATAATTTTTTGACCTCCATGATAGTGTAATAATCGTGATATATATTATAAAATTTCTCACCTATATGCAGTTGGCAAAGAGTCTAATTTGCCAACCTTATATGCCCAACCTTATATGTAGTAATTATATTTCTTACACAGTTGGGACTCTTTGTTTCTATATATAATTTCTCTTTTCAAATTGTTGTTCTTATTTAGGGATCTTTCTCTCTCTAAATTAACATACAAATATATATATATATATATATATATATATATATATATATAGTTCATATTCGTATAATCCATCAATTTCGTATTCTCTAGGCTCTTTCTCTTTCTAAATTAACATACATATTATGAAAATTAATAATTTCTCTGTTCCATATAAAAATAAAAGAGAGGACACTTAATTGTGGGGAGGGAAAAGAAAAAGGAAAAGGGAAAGGAGAAATGGTAATTAGGCATGATTGAGAGACCCAATAAAAATTTACTATAGTAACAATTAGTGGTTTGGAGATATAATTCCACATGTCCATGGGTTTATAAAAAAAACCAAAACGGCGACTTTTTAAGAGGGTCTTTTAAGTAATTTCAACTTTTAAGAATTTTTTATTTTTTATTTGTTTTTGTAAAGTTATGGTTATTTTCGTATTTTCACCCTTGTGTCAAAGTCAACTTGACAAAAAGTTTTTATTTTCACATTAAAGGATAGATTTTAAATGTGAGAGTAGGGATGTCAATTTTTACCGCCCCGTTAATAACGGATATGGGAACACTTTTTATACCGTTGGAGCGGGTATAGATACAAATTTTGTACCCGTTGAGGGTCAAGGGGCGGATAAGGGTTCAGTATACATATCCTAGGGGCCCCGCCCCGCTAAGCATATAACTATATTTAATAAATATATATATATATAATATTAATAACTTATTTTAGCGACTTACCCAGTTACCCATCTCTTACAATCCTAATTTGGGATGTAAACTTGGTATTAAATTTGTTTTTGTTTTAGTTCTAGTGGAAGTTAGAGGTTAGAACTTCTTGTGATTTAGTTGTATTAAACTTTTATTTTTGTTTATTATGTTCTCTGAATTATGTTATGTGCATGTTATTTTTTTATTTTTGTTGAGATACATAATTTCATTTATGTTGTGCCATTCCCAGTCTTTCCACATATAGCAGGAGCTTAAGTTCCAAAAAGTGAGAAAAAAAAATTTGTTAGCGGGGCGGGCACGGGGATACAGTATTTCCCAACGGGGCGGGGCTGGACATGAAATTCCAACCCGTCGCGGGTCTCGGAGTGGGCATGGACTTGACAAAAATTAAAAGGGGCGGGACGGGATTTAGGGAAACCCGCTCCAAACCCGCCCTGTTGTCATCCCTATGTGAGAGATGTTATTTACACATTTTTTAAATTATATGAGAGTTTTTTTTGCACTTTAACTTTTCTTGATTTATATTAAAGGGTCACTTACACTTGTAAAGTCTTCTATTGAAAATCATATACGAGTTGGTCTTTATTTTTTTTATTTTTTTATATCAATGACACCCTAGTCAGTAGCCAAACAACCCTCTAAAAGATTGAAAAAGATGAAATTGTCCTTCAATATTTATTTAATTTTAATTATAAAATATCATGATAAAGACGATTATACCCGTTGATCATATGAAGATAGGGTATTCCTTGTCTCTCTATCTCTAAAAAAATTATTGATTCATTTAGAGAAATTTCTATTTTCATTCCGGTAATTGAATTGGGTTAATAAATTGAAATAATTTAAATTAAAAAATATCAATTTTATTTCTGAATCTACAATATATTGTTCTAAATAGCTTATTTAAAATAATTGTTTAAGATCCTAATCTATTCAAATTACTAATTTGAACGATAACACTATTTGTTAATTAAATTATTAATTTATTTATAATCTGAAGATATATTTTTAATTAATTCAGCACTGAGAACACCGATTTTTTAGTACCAACAAATCAGTGGTTTATCCACTAATGTAGTATTACATGTGACTGATATCGCTCTCTCACTCTATCCTTAATTTAAGTGTCCTTATTAGGAATGGGGACTCACAAGATTTTGACTCTTACAAGTCATAGTTTTTAACTACGACACTTAAATGACGGCGAAAGGTGTATTTTTTTTTTTTTTTTTGATTGGTTTAGTTGAGGCTCTTCTTTTCTAGACTTCGTGTAGGCTTTGTTTTGGGCCGGGCTACTGTATCTTCTCTTATTAGCCTTCCTCAGACTAAAATTCTGTAATTTCCATCTTTTTATTTATATAATTACCTTTACCTTTGAAATAAAAAAAAATTGTTGAGTTTGCCGTTGATTGCTTGCTTCTCTTTTTTCTTTTGTATTGCAATTTGCAAAGGCATGCCTTTGCTTTACAGCATGTATTCTTTTATATATTTCTAAATGAAAATTTCATACTCACCTAAGAAAAAAATAGCGATTTATTAATAATTTCTAACACTGATTTGTAAATAACAGTGCTAATTAAACCTTCTTCAATAGTGTTAATTAATCTTAATTTGTTAAAATTAGTATTTCATGCTTAGGCAGATATGAGAGGATTTCATAGTGTTATTTATCCTTTTTTAAAAATACACTTAAAAGACAATTATTAATTAATTATTGTAAATTTTCAATTAATAGGTGAATAAAACGTCCTTATCATATTAAAATACTAAAAAAAAAATTGGGATTTAGTACAAATAAATGTTGCTAATGTTTCATATTTATCATTTAATGGAGTCAAAATCTCAATAGTTTCGAAAAAATAAAATTGACCAAAATGTTAACGTGAATATGAAAAAACATCATTTACTTTTACTGAAATATCAAAACATATAATATCACCAATTTAGTGATATAAATTTAGGTTTAAAAAAATATGATATATTATAAATTATTTTTTAAACTAATTTAAAATAGCGATTTATCACACAATTTAATTTGTTATAATGGAGAGTTTTCTGTAATCAGGAAGGAAACTTCAGTTAGGGTTTCTGGAAGGAACCAAGAAGACGAAATTGGTGCTTTCTGGTTGGACTCCACAGGTAAGACCTCTCTCTCCTCTTCTTATAATGCGTGTGTATATATATATATATATATATTGTAAAGCATATTTGGGACGGGAAGAGTATATAATTATGTGGGTTGGAATGTGTGGGATATAGATATAGCCAGGCCAGAAAAGTTGTAAGCAGCGTATAAAAGAGCAGCAAAAGCAGTGGCAACAACGACAGCAAAAGCAATGACAACAACTCCTCCTCGAATTGACTGTCTAGAGTCATCATATATGAGATACTAACAAGAGTAGCTGCTAAATCACTTGTTAGATTGAAAATAGTATGTAAGTTGTGGAAAACCATCATCTATCATCTTCACATATGGAAATCCAACCCTGCAATCATGTTCACAGCAGATTTATCATCCTACCGATTGCTTCTCTCAGGAGACAGACTCCACAGATGGTTTATTATTTACTTCTCATAGGCTTTCGACACAAAAATGGTTATCCCGACAGTCATTATGATTATGATTCATAATCCCGTTACTGGTACCCAAAAGTTGTTTCCTTCAATTTCAAATGATATATTGATGGATACTACCACTTATTTGATACTACATTATGCCTCAATTCAAAAATATATATCCATGTGGTTATCAACATATTAAACTGTAGACAATTATGGTTATACTGGTTAGCATTCAGTTGTGGGTCCCATAATCCTCCTCCTGTTATGGATGTTTCAATTGTTGGTAGGCCTGATACACAGACAAGTTTCTTTGAGAATGATTCATTTTACCCAATTCAGATGATAGTGGAAAGGAGCTCTGAAGTTCCAATGAGCAGATTACTCATTTCAAAAGGTTCTGTTTTGTGATGCAGTTGTGTGAGCCTGTTTGTGTAAAATAGTACTCTTACAATTTCTATTTGTGTTTAGGACTGAAGTATATATATATATATATTCAGGAAAAGACCACTGCAAAAATGAAATACCATTTGCATTTGTAAAGGAAGAATCACTTAGAAGTTACAACACATGGGTGGTGATTTCTTTCCTACACATGCAGATTATATAGCTAGCTAGCTTTTGTTGTCACTTACTGCTGCCATTGTTGCATGTCATCGTTCTGTTATTTTAGAATGCAGCCAAAGCCCTTTGTATCATCCAAAAAGATGGATCTACATCCTTATTAACCACTTTACTTTTTCAAAAGGAGGTTAAAACAATGGAGAGTAACCTAGTTTATCCATGATTCTCTCTAAGCAGGTTGATGATCATGAGCCATTTATATCTGTTTTGGCGCTTTGTGGAAAAAAAACATGGGAGTTTCAGGCAGCTTGGTTTGATCCTTCATCTAGAAATTTTGGACCCATCACTCAGTCCCTTAACTACCTACCTTTAAAGCAGAAAAAGATGGATCAACCACCGAGCACTTTGAAAAGGCATGTACAAAGAGATACCATATATTACAACCATCAACTATCAAAACATTTCGTGATCACCCTGCTCCCTATAATAAATGATATAAAATGTCAAAACATAATAACAAATTTGTAATAAATGTGACTTGTTTAGGACTCTGAGTTTTTTTGTGACAAATGTGCACAAAATGGTAGACCATCATATGTCCTGCTGCAATATGGAATGAAGCTGAAAGAACCGACACCGTGAGCATGAAATCAACTGCTTAAGGAATGTTACCCTATCCTTTGGATTCGGCAAGTTCAACATCTTTCACCATGGTTTCCTCCAATCCCTCTTTTAACAATTTAACATCCTCTTCTGACAGAATGTCTTTCATGTTGGGGATGATCTTGGTGGCATCACCTTGCTTCTCAACCTCCATTGCCCAACTGTATATTACCATACCAAGAACTGCAATAGCCATTCCAAGGATGTTCTTCAGCGTCAGCTCTGAATCAAATAGCAGCCAACCTAACGTCAGGATGCAAACTGTTTTCATGTGGCCTAACACCTGGAAGGAGACTGCAGAAAAGCGTCCAATACACAGGTATTGGCTCACATTGCAGAATACCGCTAGAGAGCATGAAAGCAGAATGAAGAACTGCAAATTTGAGATTAAACCATTCAACAACATATACAAAATCTCTTTTATCTAAATTGGACAAGACAGTCTTAAAAAATGAAGAGTACTTACAAATGCACCATAAGACAAGTTATAGTTTGTTACAAATTGTCCACTAAGAGAGTAATCAATGAAAGGACCAAACACAAGTAGAGAAATTGCTTGTATGGGGGCTGTCTTGCTCAGCAATTCAAAAGAGCCTATTGAGTACTTCTTCTGTAAGGAACCAATTGACTGATCCAAGAAAAGAAAAAATAAAATAAAATAAAAATCAGAGGTAATTTCAAAATTGTTGGGGTAAGGAATAATACAGAAAATAGAGTCCTTTTTATGCAAGCCTATTACAATTTTTCACTTCAAAGATACCTAAACTAAAACCAAAACTTAAATCTTCCCCTTGCACCAATGGTGAAGGGTAAGCATGTGTTGGCAGTAAATAACATAATCGTAAAGATGTAAACCCTTCAGCACTAAAATGTTAGAGCTGTCAAGCGTTAGAAACTCCCTGAAAGCAGCGACTCCGTGCAAATAAGGCCAAATGTTAACTCTGTATTTAGTCCACCCTTATCGGATCTTCGACTATCGGGGACCACAATGGCAATGACCCTAAAAAAAGTCAAATTTAGCAGGACGGCAGGCACAAAATGCCAATGCATCTCGTATGCTGCAAAAATAATTAAAGTATGCTCAAAAAGCCCAGTTGTAGCACACACACGTGAAATTGTAATATGCAACCCCAATGGTTTCCAGGAAATAGATGTGAGTAGCAACGACAGCACTACAATGATATGGTACAATAGCATCTCGGATTCTGGCAAAAAGATCTGACCAAGTGAGGTGTTTTTGGAATGTCTACAATTCAAATCCAAGTGTCTGAGGTACCCATAGAATTGTAAGAGAAGATCAAGTCAACCCAGAAAATGATCTGCCCACCTAAGGGGCAAGTATAAAGGAAAACACTGAGATATAACCTAAAAGAAAAGTGGGGAGAGAGAGATGGGGAAAAAAACGACACTGAGGGTGTATCTTGAGTCCTTGACTAAACATAAGATGTGGCATTTGTGCACAGTGACCTATTCATTATCTGCCATTATTAATATATTAACAAATACTTTATGAATAATCATAGGATGGAAGTTTTCATTGAAAATAGAGAGTATATTAACACATGCATTCAAACAATACACAAATCAGAATCATATATATATATACACACACACACACAGCAGGGAACATCCAAAGCAAAAAGACTACATCCTGTGTTAAATTATTAGCCGAAAGCAGGTTTGTTAAACCTATCATACCATGTCGAGTATTTTGTAGGCAAACCAAAACAACACAGCAATTTAAGTTCAAATTATTTTCATTGGTTAAGGAGATGCCTCTTCTGCTCTACTTAAAAGATTTTTCCCAGTTGATTGTTCAATTTAGTCAGAAAATAGGCTCCACTCAACTACAACAAAGAATAAGGACCATGAGATTGACTCTTAGAAGGGGGAAACATAATAAAAAAGTAATTTTTAATAAATAAAAAACCGCATTAAAAAAAAGTGGAAGATCATAAAATAGTCTAAAAGAAGAACAAACAATAAGGTTGGACAAAGGCATGCAAATAATATGGAAACACACTTAAAATAGCAAAGCCCCCAAAAGTCTTCTGATACACTTATATTTAATTATTTATCATAATCATTCTGACAATTTCCTGAAAGTGTATATTATAATCAGCTATACCATTTTCTTAAGGGGCATGACTCATGAGAACATAACATTTGACGTATCATCCATGAAAGCCACAATAATCTAGAAGTGCTTTTTAGGCACCACAAGATCTGTAGTCCTTTTCTTTTGCTTTTCCTCTCCACCTTCTCTCATTATCTAATCAAAAGCCATTTTGATACCAAAGATGAAAAGCCGACTCCAGGGTTATGATAAAAAATAAAAATAAAAAACTTCAATCAAGTGCTGACATCTTAATGTGAATGACATCAGCGGGGGCGTCTTAGTTTGCTTTTTCAAGTGAGTTTGACCCACTCTTGACTGGTCGAAATCCAGTCAAGTATCAAATAATCTATGAAGATTCAAAATGTAACTTTGGAATTGCTGAGGTGGAATCTGTAAGGTGTTTATTAAAATACCTTAGTTCAGGATAAGAACCATATGATGACAGAAAGCGACTTGGAAGGTCAAAAGTTGACAGCATCAGCATTAACTAACAATTTGATCTCTTCGAGAAATACTCAATCTTCACCAAATCCACGATATTTGGCAATTATAATTTGTGAAGAGAGATAAAATTGGTTAATAATATAGTATGGATGTCCCTTGGAATTACAAATCTTCAACAAATCCACAATTACTGCAATTTGTACATGCCAAGTTATGTTATAAATCAGAAAAAGTAAAACGCAAAATTAAATTTCGTAGACAAATTAAATAAAATAAAATAAAATAAAATAAAAAAGGAAAAGAAAAGAGACATCAGAGTATAAAAAATAATAAATAAATAAATCCAATTTTGTAGTCATTATAATGCAAACATGATCATCACGAGTGTAAACATGACATCAGGACCATCTGAAAACCAAAACAATTATATGGTACCGCTAACTAAAAAAGGCTACGTTATGAGAGGCTACGTTATGAGAACAATTATAAGAGGAGTCCATGATTATTCAACAATGAATTGAAGTCCATTGTCCTGGCATGGTCTCATTGTCCATATCATTTATTGCCAACATAGGGTTTCATGAGCATGCCATCGTTTTTTACATATAATTATTACTTTAGTATTGTTTTGCCTTTTTGAGGTCCTAAAATAAGGAGAGAGTTGAGTATTACTCACAATTTGTTGTAAAGATGTAGATAAAACTGCCACACATGCACAAATGAAACCTTTGGCATTGACTTTCACATCAGTCACTGTGCAGACACCCACACCTACAACAACCACTGCCACAGCCATCTTGACTTCCCTCGTATAGTTTTTGCTGTGAAGAATCCACTCCATCACACAGACCACTGGAATCATGCTTAACTTTGAAATCTGCACAAGCAAAAAGACAAATTTTCTCTTTCTGGTGGGAATACTAAACAAAAGAAAAGGAGTACCAGATAAAGAGTGAAAGGACTGGAGCAGTGTAAGACTAACTAAAAATTATGTACCTGATAAAATCCTACAGAGTTTAGCATGAGGCTGAAGTTCATCCCTGAGATTGACGTATTGGCAACAACTGAGAACCAGAGAAGCTCCCATAATGGAACATGCTTTGACGCAGAGTAACCAGAAGCATTTGAAACCAAACCAACCAATGCCGTGAAGGAAAAGTGGAAACCAGTCAAAGTTGTAGCTGGAAAGGGAAATAAGATATTTTATTTATAAACTTTATTTTTATGGGGGTGTTCCACATGCAAAAGTGCATCACAAATAATAATGAAACACATAAGAACATGATATTTAATTTGGTTAGGTAAATTGGCTTATGTCCAAGAAAGAGAATAAATGATCCAATATATATTTAGAAATTACATAGGTAGATAATACAACCACCAAAAGCAACACCATTATCTGATCCCAACATCAATTTTAGGGATACATAACAACTCTCATCTTATACACACACAACTGCAGCCATTTAGAAACTCTCAACAAGGGACCATCCCTTGAGACCCTATTGACTTTAGGGTCCCTTATCCAAGGATTTAGCTACTAGCTCTTTGGATTTTATGTGTCTTCAAATTCCTGTTTTGCAAGTTTGATCATGGCTAAAATGCACATAACACAACTTGATTGGTGGAACCTCCACTTTGAAAGAGAGAGTGCATAATGGAGGAGAATTGATCAGATGAACTTGTTAGCTCAATCATTCAAGTTTTGTATACCACCTGACACTGATTGACTCCATCTCAGGATGTAATAGTAATAAGTAAAGTTATTAGCAATATTCATCACAGATGTTGTGGCCTGACAGATGAAACATATTAAAATAATTCTAACATAATTTTCTTGGAAAAGGAGTTAACACCAAATTTTTTTTTTTTTTTTTTGGATAGGTGTAAAGGAGTTTAACACCTTTGAGCTTCAGGAAAAACCTTTACACTTACTGTTGCAGGTTAGTTTCAGAAAAGTTCAAAGAGGGTCTGAACTATGAGGAATTCAAAGCTTAGAGAAGTCTTTTGACAGCTTTTGCACGAGTCAATTTTTCATCAGAACTTTGCCCCCCTCATATGAACTGCTGACAATTCCCAGATCTAATTTACTTTATTCTTTTTTTGTTGCCTGTTGGAAACTTGCAATCTTTAGAAGTAACTTTGCTAATTTATATTAGATACAAAAAAGAGTATGTCACTTGTAACAAAGTACTGACTTATGATATGCTGTAGTACATTTTTATTATCTATTTTATGTAAAGAACAAGTCTTCATTATTTATTAATTTATGCAATTGTTTCCATGTGAAAAATGGTAGCACAAAGAAGTAGTCAAGATTGAAGAACTGAGTCGTCCATTTCAGTATTATCAAGTCATAACAAAACAGGTGTACAGAGTTCTACAATTTTCAATCTTTAATCTTTAATATTGTTGTTGTTGTTATTGCTTTGAGGTTCTGAATCAAACTTCATTGACAGGGTCGAATTTGCTGATACAAAAACCAATAGACACAGAAGAGAGGTGATAAACAAGCATAGAGACACATCTATGCTTGATGAATCAAAGTTTTATCCAACTTATCGTTAATTTAAGATAAAAGGGTGAGCAAATTAACCCCGCAAAGTCGCACTGAATTGGCATATGGTTTCTGGGAAGACTTGGGTTTTATGTTCAACTGGGAGTCAAATCTCTTTATTGGGCTTACCCAATACCCTTGGTTTGGGGATGATTGCAGGTAGACAAAGTGAATAGTCTCACCCTCCAAAAGGGTGGAACAGCATTAATTGGCAATAAAAAATGTGTGAGCAAATATAGCAATCAGACAAGTTTTAGCAGTAACATCACTAACATAGCATATAGATACATCTACTCTTGATCAATCCAAGTTTATCCAATAAAAAAAAAACAAACAAATCTTGTAGTGCTAGCAATCAGACAAGTTGTTGCAGTTGCACCCACCACTAACATAGTAAAATTGAGCAAAATAGAGTGAATAATAAGAGTTGAAAAGAAAAGGGAAATTAATATGTGAAACTAACAGTATGGCAAATTAAGATCAGATCTGACTGAAAACAAGAAGAAAGAGAACTTAGAGAGAGAAACAAAAGAATTACCAAAGCAGAAAGCATAACCGGTTGGGGACATGAGTTGCTTGTTTGCCATGATAATGCCAACAGAGCTGATCACATTCATCGCCCAAGCGCCGACATCTGATACACCACCTGACAAAGTTTTCTCCATTTGAGAGAGAGAGAAACAACCTGCAACTACGTATACTACTACTACTTCTCTGAATGGAGATGAAAATGGAAGAGACTGAAGAGCCTGAAATGGCAATCCCTTAAATTGGGGGGTTCAATTCTTTGCTTGTCTCTCATTCTGTCCCTCTCTCTTTCTCCTTTTCTAGTTACCGTAGACTCTTCCAATTCCTTGCGATCTCCGCAATTAGCATTTGTTACCACATGGGTAACTCATTCCCACCTTTACGTTCTATCTTCTATCCCCAATTCTCTCTCTGCATATGATATATAGTATATATATATATATATATATATAGTGGAATGTGCAATTATTACTATATTCAAAAATTAAATGAAATTGAGAAAATTTCGGGGGTTAATTGATTATAGTACTTGCTCTGGGAAGCAAGTTGAGTTGAATTTTGATTACATAACACAATTTTATTTTTATAGCTACACAAACCTATGATTTGCTCGTCCTTCTCTAACACACCTCAATAAATAATCTACTGATTTTTCGGAAAACTGTCGGTTAGCGGTATATGGAATGCCAACGTGTAAGTCTACTATGTAGTTTATTAATTTTATAAAATTAAAATATCGAGCCAAACGTTAAGTTGGGGGTTGAGTCCGTTGACCATTTTCTTTGGGTCACCTTTGCCGTTACTTCTTCACCTTTTATGTCGTTTGGAGGAATATAGGGACAAAAAAAAAAAATTCCTTGTTTGGTAGAGAGAAAATAAGAGGATAAAAGAAAAAAAAAAAACTGAAGGACGAATGGCTTTAGAAATTTTCTTCCATCACCAGGAGGAGGAAAGTCTCCAATAAAAAGATATATATTATTATGATATGGCTTTGAGTGTAAATTGCAAATTTACATTTATTTATTTATTTTTTTTCTTTTTTTCGGTATATATCAAACAGTGGTAATAAATTCGAAGATTCATAAAAATATCAAATGACCTTTCAATTCCATAACTATCGGCTTGTAGTTTTTTCGGGTATATGGGATTAGCAAGTATAAGCTAATTATAAAACCCAAAATGTTAAGAGATCTCTAAATTACATAAATTGGGAGCATGAACGTGAGCAAATTCGAGTAATGAGAATTCAAGCCAAAACGTAAACGGAGGGTAAGTACGAAAGTGAGCTCAGAATTTGAGAACGACACTTGTTGAGAATGATTGCGTGACTTAGAAAGATTCACGTATATGCAATATGCAAATATAAAACTTTCATATATAATTCTGTAATAAAAAAATAAATAAAGTAAAAATGTTGGCTAAACTCAATCTGCCGTTACTCTAGAAATTTATTAGGTTAATAACATGATTGAAAGGTAGAAATTGTTGTCCCAAAAAATAAAAAAACTAGAAGTCGATAGGTTAGTACCCCTTATTGATAAGTATGGTGACCCTATTATCAGGCGTTACTCTTGCAATTTATTAGGTTCCAAATAACATGATTGAAAGTTAGAAGAAGTTGCTGTCCAAAAAAAAGAAATTAAATAAATAAATAGAAGTTGATAGGTTAGTACCCTTATTGATAAATATGGTGTCCCTATTAAATTCAATCAGCCGTTACTCTTGCAATTTGTTAGGTTCCAAATAACATGATTGAAAGGTAGGAGAAGTTGCTGTCCCAAAAATAAAGTAATAAAAATAGGAAAAATTATATATAAGTAGAGTTAGTAGTTTTAAGTAATAAAATAGTCTATTTTAAAATTTCATTTTTTAATTTGATTGAATTAAATTAAATAATTACAAATGCATCAATAATTATTATTAAGGATCAAAATACCCTCAAGCCCCTTATTTCAAATTACCAAAATATCTTTAAGATAATATAATTCCAAAATGGATATCGCTTTAGTTGTTATTTCCTTCTTGAATAAAATTGTTTAATTATCAACAAAATATACCGTGTGTGTATATATATAATCACAGAAAGTTGTACCAAATGATCTGTTCAAAGTGGCTGTGTATAATCTATACTAAGACCAAATTCACAACATTATAGAATAAAATATAATAAATAAATAAATAAATAAACTTGCCAAAAGAACCTATACTATTATGATAAGAACACAGGAGGAAGGTAATGATGAAATCATTCCCTTGCAGCTCTTCTTAGTATTGGAGAAAAATATTCAGCTACTAGGAAATAAGAAAGGTACTCTTGCTAAGTATATGAATGACCCAATTGCTTTTTCAAACTCAAATCAAAGAGTTAGAAGAGGCCAGAACGAATTATTGCAACCTTGTGGGGGTGTATCCAACGCGAGAGAGGGAGAGTGGATCTGTATGGAATTGAATAAAGAAAATACTAACAACCAGAAGAGGGTATTGTGGATTATAACAAAGAGAAGGCTATGATGGCTATCATATGTTGTACCCATACTGGCACAGTAATATAGAGAGAAGATGTGTAAAATAAATTTAGGTTTTTAAGACACTCTATAATAGCTCCTCTTATTGTAATGGATTCGATTTTCTTTATGGATTTTTTTTTTTTTTTTTTTCTTCTCATGCACAACGCTTTTTCAAGCACAGAAACCACCGACTTCAGCAAGGTTTGATAGTTTCCGATTTTTTTTAGTATTTTGGAGTTATGTGATATTAAGAAGGATATTTTGGTATTTTAGACTGAGAGATTGGAAGGCATTTTGGACCTTAACAAAAATTCTTGATACATTTGTAATTATTTTGTTTAATTCAATCAAATTGAAAAGTAAACTTTTAAAATAGACTATTTTGTTATTTAATATTCCTAACTCTATCTATTTGTAGTTTTTCCTAAAAATATATATATAAATAGAAGTTGATGGGTTAGTATCCCTTATTGATAAGAATGGTGACCCTATTAAATTCAATATGCCCTTACTTATTTTTATATTTTTGAAGGGTAGAAGTTGATATTTATTTTTAGGGTAAATTACATTGACACCCTTTTAAGGTTTCAGTCAACGCCACTAAGTGACTGGTCAACACATTATTTTATATTGACACCTCCTGCTATTTAAAATGTCATAAATGCTCCTGAATATTTAATTCAATTTTATTCAAAAAAAAAATATTAGTAATGTTTATTGACTAAAACACCCTCACATTACCCCACGTGGACCAAAAATACAAACTTTCAAACTAGGCCATATTCCTCTCAAAGTTTTGCTTTCAAACCCCCACCCCCACCCCCACTATGCCAACGCCAACACCACCAAACCTTAACCATCCACAGCAACTCATCCTGAACAGATCCAAATGGACAACATCTTTCGCACCAGCAGCCATTACCACTCGTTTCCACAAGCTCCATTAGATTGGACCAAATTCACTGGCGAAGATCGTGACGCCAACAAGCTCTTCACCTCCCACAATCTTATCCTCCGGTGCTAGCCAACACTCTAAATCCACCATAGTTATCCCAAAAAAAAAAATGAAGACACCCAATCCACACGCTCCCATGCACTGACATCATCACCGGAATCTCCCACGCCCCGTCACTCACAGACACGACATCTCTTCATCGGGAGAACACTATACCATCGCTATATCGACTGACGACCCTTCTCTGCTCCTCTCACTTTGTCGGCTCCACTCCCGCAAGTCCTCTAAACCACCATGTCATTTTCATTTGCCGACGTTTCCGTCCAAATTCCGGCGGTAACTCAATCCTCATAGTTCAAGTGTCGAGTCCTGCAATTTCTTTAATGGATCAGTGGAATTGAATAAGTCCCACATCAAAAGACGTGTAAGAAAATCATTTGGGGTTTTTCACTCTCTCAATTTGAGATTTATATTTATTATATACGGGCGTGTGTGTGTATATATAATACTTAGAATTTAGGGTATGGTCAATTTGGTTTAGATGGATTTTCGATTTCCATTTTATACTTATGTAGGGGTTCTTTTCTACTAGATAATAAACAGCAATAAAATAAAGATATCAAGAATACAAATACGAAAGAAAATAGAGGAGATGCTCAATGTAGGAGGAGGAGAAGAAGAAGACCAACTATCAAGATAAAGATGGTGGTAGGGCGAATATACAATATTTCATGACAACTTTTCTTCCTTTAGGGGGTTGGTTCTTTCTTCATAGGACAGTGCCATTTATAGATCTGGATTCCATTGGTTATTATCCAATGGTTCCTTCCATGCATGGTCCTTTGCATGCATCACCCCCAATCCAGATTACGTAAGTAATCCTAAAGATTTAGGGGTCTGAAGGGTCTAATCCTTTCCTCGAGCCTTGTCCCACGTTGCCATGTCACTTCTCCCTTAATCAGGGGCATTAAATGTTGTTTGGCCGTCGGTTGGTCAAGCCTGACATAGCATTAATTGTGATTTTAAGGTTTGTTGTCACGACATATATAATCCCATCATCTTGTTAATTGGGCCTTGCCGAAAGCGAAGGCACTTCTTGACTTCTCATCCACCAATCCAAGATCCTCCTAAGTTTCCCAAATATGGATTCCTATAACATGAAGATCCTACCTTCATCTCGTGCTAAGGAGCTCCAATATTTCAAAACAGTATTGTCTGGCGTAACACCAGGGTTCAAGGTATTCAAGAGTTAGTCTTTCGAGGCTTGATGGGCCTAGTGTGGTGCCAGGGCTTGGGATGCTCGAGGATCAGCTTCTCGAGGCTTATTGGGCCTGGAGCGATCACAGGGCTTTGTGTGCTCGAAGTTTGATCTCTCGAGGCTTGGTGGGCCTAGAGCGATCACAGGGCTTTGTGTGCTCGAAGTTTGATCTCTCGAGGTTTGGTGGGCCTAGAGCGATCACAGGGCTTTGTGTGCTCGAAGTTTGATCTCTCGAGGCTTGGTGGGCCTGGAGCAATGCCAGGGCTTAGAGTGCTCGAGATTTGATCTTTCTAGGCTTGATGGGCCTAGAGCAATGCCAAGGCTTAGGGTGCTCGAAATTAGATCTTTCGAGGCTTGAAGGCCTGGAGCGATGCCAGGGCTTAGGGTGCTCAAGATTAAATCTTTCGAGGCTTGAGGACCTGGAGCGATGCAAGGGCTTAGGGTGCTCGAGATTAGATCTTTCGAGGCTTGAGGGCCTGGAGCGATGCCAGGGCTTAGGGTGCTCGAGATTAGATCTTTCAAGGCTTGAGGACCTGGAGCGATGCCAGGGCTTAGGGTGCTCGAGATTAGATCTTTCGAGACTTGAGGGCCTGGAGCAATGCCAGGGCTTAGAGTGCTCGAGATTTGATCTTTCGGAACTTGAGGGCCTGGAGCGATGCCAGGGCTTAGAGTGCTCGAGGTTTGATCTTTCGAGGCTTGAGAGCCTAGATAGATGCCAGGGCTTATAGTGCTCGAGATTTGACCTTTCGAGACTTTTGACTTTTCAAATTGCCACGGAGGATTTGGCTAGGGTTGTATTGACTTGTCAACATGCCACATCAGCTTCTAATAAGTGACACCCACAACTTACAACTACAATGATACTCACAAACTCACAAATTGGGGTTATATACATGAGCTTTGCTAGCAACACTCGCCTATGTTGACTGTTGCCATCAGTCTCCTATTTTGATGGGCTAGAATCAACCCACATGCGTAGGGCCATGTTTTTTTTCTTTAATTCTCTTGTTTTAAAAAACACACCTTAAAAAGAGAGTTTTGACTTACTCAACTGGTTATTGCATTTTTTTCCTTTCTATTTTTTTTCCTTCCTCATCATCACCAAACTCAGTCAATAGAAATTGTTGGACTGATTTAGATTCTATATATAGAACTATATATATAAATGGATTTTTGAGAAGAAGATCTATATATATGTATTATGAATATATATAGAATGATATATTTTTGAGAAGAAGATCTATATATATGTACTATCAATATATATAAATGATATATATTGATATATATAATTGCAAGAACAATATGTTCATAAGGGAATTGATACTGATTCTATATATAATTGCATCTGTTCATCTGTTTGGTGATGATAAGGAAGGAAAAAAAAAAAAATGCAATGGCCGGTTAAAAGGAAGGAGGAAACCCAATAACAGGCTTCGTAAGTTAAAACTCTCTCTCCAAGGTATGTCTCTTAAAACAAGAACATTAAAGAAAAAAATATATATACCCACGCACGTGGGCTAATTCTAGCCAATCAAAATAGGCAAGTGATGGCAACAGTCGCCTCTGTTGCTAGCAAAACACTATATATATATGGTGTGCATATTATAATATACTCCGTATATATGTATCTTATATTATATATACGTATATAATTTAGGCATGTGTTTGGGATGAGTGTTGTGGTGGCGGTGGTTATGGTGTCTGTTTGGTGTACGTATATGATTTGGCCTGTAAATGTGTGTTATGTTTGGTGTTTAGGATGAGTGTTGTGGCGGCGGCGGTGTTGTCTGGGTATTGTGGTGTCGGTGGTTGTGGTGTCTGTGTGTTCTATTTGGTATCGTGGCGGTGATTATGGTGTCTTTTGGTTTCTAAGTGAAATGGGATTAATTAGGAAGGTTAAATGGTCATTTCACGAGTGGTTGTTGACAAGTCAAGGGGCAAGCTGGTCATTCTTTGATACTACAATAGTCTATAGGGGTGTCAATGCATATTTTTGAAACCTCAGGAGTGTCAATGTAAAAAAATTCATTGACCGTCCGCTGAGTGGCATTGATCGAAACATTAGGGGTTTCAATGCAATTTACCCTTATTTTTATTCTTTTGAAAGGGAAGAAGATGATAAGTACAAGTACCCTTCAATTTTATAACAAATGCGTTAACATTAATCTACATTCATATAGGGAACGCAGTGTGAATAAATTTACTTTGGCAAAAAATATACACACTCATTTACTTTCCTTCCCGATGGTATTAGAGTCTGATCCAATCAAAAGTGTGTTTAAGAGCTAGGACTTCAATTAAGGACGACATTGTAAATAAATTTAAATAATAATAATACTAGTAATAACGACATGAAAAATATAGATTGTTCAAATCAAGAGACAGTAAAAAATTAAAAAATAAAATAAAATAAAATTATTAACCTCATGAAATTACAATATTAAATTTAAATAAGAAGAGAGAAATCAAAAGGATAAGAAGAGGGGGGAAAAAGTTACATACTACAAGTGAAAAAAGAAAAGAATTTTAACCTTTTTTAAAAAATTAAAAATTAAAAATTAAAGGGATAAGAAAGAAAAAGTTATAATTTTAGAAATTTAAAAGTTTGGTGAGGTTGGGAAACAAAATTTTCCTATTACACATATCGCGATTCATCGTGCGAATCATACGGACTAATTTGTATCTGTGTCACACGTATCGATTCTGCTAACTTTAATTGGCTACCGATGGAAGTGGACACTGACAACAACCAAACTGATCTCACCCGTCTATGGAACCTATAGTGACAAAAACCATACTATCTCACCCGGCTATGGAACCCTACGAGCACTGTCCTTCGTCCTCACACTTTCCACGTAGACTAACCCACCGTACCATCTTCCGAAACATAATTAATAAAAAAAGCATTCCCTACTCCATTTAAGTGGAGAAACCACTAATTTTTTTCTCAAGTTGAAATCAAAATTCAAGTTTAGAGACATTTGGTTGTCCTTCATTATGTTTTCGTCTAAAAAGATAAGGAACTTTAATCCACAAACCAAACATGGCATTAGAATTTTTGGTCCTCTTTAACGGTTTCACATACAAGTAAATATTGGTTTAGACTGAGCAGCGCATAACACTTACAAGCAACAGAGCAAACAAGGAAATATACCCATGATGAACCATCATAATTTAATCCTGATACAAAACTTAATATGTACCTACTGAAACCATCAAGTAATAACCTTGGCCAGCCTGAGCAACGGGCATGTCATATCCATTCAACATACATTATGTCCCATGAAAGAGACTGTTTATGCAATTTAAAATTGAAGACCATGTGAGATGAACCAAAAAGATAGCGATGTAACATGGGCAAAGCAGCAGCGAGTCCAGAGGGGCATCCTTGTCATGTTCATACCCCACGGGAATACCCCAAACGTACACATAAGCCAGTGTCTACAAAGTTACAAAAAAGCATCCTTCTCCAGCAGCTTCAGTACTTCGTGCTGGTTATTCAGCTTGGCAACGTCAATGGGCGTCTTGCCATCCAAGTTTTGGAGCGTGCTGCAACAAGAATGGAAAAATATCATAAAAGGTGAATAGGTTCGAGTTTGGTCAATTACAGGCAGATAAATCTTAACCACGCAAAGGTTGGCTTACACTGCGGCACCATTCTCCAGCAGAAGTGCTACACATTCCTTCCTGCCATAACCAGCTGCATAATGAAGAGCGGTATTCTTATTCTTATCCAAAGCATCCACCGCTGCCCCAGCCTCGAGAAGGACCTGAGCACACTTCACCTGAAAGGGAATTACGTGCATTTGATCAGCAGCTCAAAACATGAAGAAGAAACAGGCCAATGTTCCGTCACTTTGCCTGATTTAGAATGAACAGACGGAAATGCCAAGTTGTTCAGTGGGCTATAACGGGCAAACAAAATTCACTTGAAAATTCCAAAATATTAGCAGATTGCCTCTTACAACTCTTATCACATTTTCTCTTAAAAAATCTGAAAGACACATTCACCTGAAATTGTTTTATTGTGTTTCTATACTACTACTAGTGTGCAAAATAAATAATAAATAAAGGAGAATGAGCCAATTACAGATAAAGGGAGCTCGATTGCAACAGATAACAAAATGTTGTGACGATGACATTTCAAGAAATCTAAACTGATCCCATGACACCAAATGATGAGCTCCACACTTCTTAGCACCCATTTAAGATGATAGATTGACTCTTATGTAAAGCACACTGAGACTATCAAGAGTTTATATCAAACTCCAGGTTAACATCGGGACAATTCTGGAGCACTAATTGTGTCCATAGTCGAGGACACTTGTATCAGGCCGCGTTGACATAAGTACACCACAAGTCCACAGTAACTAAACAAGTCTAGGTAACTAATATCATAGGAATATTTTCTATACATACATGATTGTTCAATCAACTCCAACATGATATCACCACACATTCTTGAGGTTAAGGACAATACTACAAGGCTGGTTCAAACATAGAAATCACCTTATTCAAAGAACATTATAGATTAAACTAACCCACAATTGTAGAAGTAAGGAACAACTAGCCCATAGGAACTGCAAAACCAATATTTTCATAATATATCTACAAGGAATAAAGTGAGACTAAGAAGTGTTCTGAACAATCCATATTTCAACATTTTATCTGCTCATATCAGTATGCCCATTCGATAGGCTGATTAGAATCTATAACTCAAGAAGATAAAAGCATATAAAGAATTATGTAGGAAAAAATATAACAGAATGTAGGATGAAAGGTTTCATTTCAAGTGACTACATACCTCACCATATCCACATGCAAAGTGCAATGCTGTCCTTCCCTCCGAATCTTCTTCATCTTTATCCGCACCAGAGGCTAGTGCATTTTTCAAGCCCTAATCATAAATAGTGAATTAATTTTTTAAATTATCCACTGAAAAAGAGCATAATACAGGGAAAAAAAAAATTACTTGTAAAAAAAATTCACCATAACATAATTGAAGAGACTAGCAGAGGAGGACTACACCTAACTACATTTTCACTAAGGAGATCAATGGAAAAGGACCACAACAGGGAAGCTTTAGTATTCGGTAACTTTTGTGCTGGGAAGAGTGTAAACTCGAGGGTTCAGACTATTGGGTATAATATTTTCTATGTAATCTTCCCAATTATGAAGAAAAACTCTCCAAAAATAAAAGCAAATATAACACCAACATTTTTTTTTTTTAACTCAAACGTACACTAAGCTATTTTGAATTATAAAGTAGAGAGCCAATTTTATCACATCAAAGGTGAAATATATTAAAAATGTCCAAATATTCCAAAAAATAAAAAAAGACTTAACAGTATGATTCCCAACTGAAAAGAAACCCACATGGTTGGTTAAGAACATCAAATTTAAGCATATTTTAAGCACCAAAAAAGTTGATTAAGCACCTCAAATTTACGCATATGCTAATGGTTGAGCATTGGATGGAAAAATGGATCAAGGTCTTTCCCAACCGATTAAAGCAGAAAAATCTACAGGAGTAAACCAAAGGAAAAGAGGGCTAGGTATTTTGCTTAAGCAAACATAATTATCAATTTTAACGAACTTTATAAGGAAAAATGTTTGTGCTGTTATAACACTGCAGCAGTTGGACACCTAACTAGCACCAACTGAAGAAAACAACTTTACCAAATAATGGTAATCAGGTACAATATCACACTCAACAAGAAATTAACATAAACATTTATAGACATGCATAATTACCATGAGAGAGAGAGAGAGAGAGAGAGAGAGAATCTAACTAATAAGTTAAAAATAAAATGACAATGGGATTAAAATTTGACCATTTAAATATTTTCTTTCGGATAAGTAAAAAAACAGAAAATAAATAAATAAATAAAAAATCATATATGAAAATAAGAAGTTTGGAGAAAGGAAAGTGTGAAGCCACAACCAAAAGCCATGTGGTTTGCACCTAAATTGCACCATCAAAAAGAGCACACAAGATGCTTCAGCTCAGGCACAACATACGGGAGATGGGGATGTTGAGTAAAACAATCTCCCCATCAGTAATCTTTTTTCCTTACTTAATTTATTCTTCTTTTGCATGGGTAAAATCTGGCTATAGTTTTGCAGACTAATCACAACTTTGATCACAGATAAAAGCAAACCAATTAAACCAACCAAATAACACTCTAGAGAAGAGAGTTACAGGAAACATTCAGTACCTCCATATCACCAACACTAGCAGTGTGATGAACAATGGATTCATCCTCATTTCCTGGTTCTTCAGTTTCCTCTAGCCCAGAATTTTCAGCAGAAGTGGCAGCCTCTCCTGCAACTGCAAGACCCATCGCTTCGCCCAACTTCTGTAGGACCTCTTTATCATTCCAGTACCTAAACAAAAGGAATAAATAAATATGTTAAAAAGAAGAGAGAGAATAAAGAAAATATTTATAAAAAAAAAAAAAAATTTGAAAAAAAAATAAGTTCAATAGTTTCATATCACGTGTCACGCTGATATTTATTTTTTTCACAAGAAAAAATTGTACTAAATATGTTCCCCTGCATTGCTTTCATTAACTGTAGGGTAAACTTAGTCCAAGGAACTTATGAAATTGTATTATGCAATGTCAAAACCTGTAGAATGAAAGGGTGGCAAACACAAGCCATGTGTGAGAGAATGAGTGAGGAAAACTATGGAATGACCAACAAGAGAGAAGGAAAATGACCAAAAGAATCAATTACATTTTAAGGGAAGCGAACAAGGCTCCAAATTAGGTAGAGAAATAAACCCAACGGAACATATTTAGTGGGATGATCATTTTCCTTCACAGTTGATCAATATAGAGGCAACAACATAATAGGGTAGGTCCTAACCGAGGCTTTTGAAGCCTGATATACTATTTTATCTTCCCCCAAAGAAATGCTTTCCGAGGGGAGGGGTATAAAAACTAGTCATTTTCTCTTCCCCCTTCTTTTTGTTTAAAGTTTCAACATCCTGAAATTTACCACAATCAGAAAATTCTTAATGTACTCTTAACATTTTAGAAGGGAAAAAAAAAAAAAAAAGGACAATAATTATGTTCACTACAATCTCAGATAAAAAAATATATATGTGGCACCAGAAAAAAAGGCAATTGTTTGCAGAGGATGCTGATGAAAGCCAGAAGTGACCTGCAAATGGTTTGCTTTAACAGCATAATAACTTAATACTCTGATAAAGTTTTACAGAAAACGAGGCTTAAATTATTTTCTTGTAAAATAACTGCCAAAAGGTACCAACAATGTCAGCATTACATGCAGAGTATAACATGACAAAATATGCGTCGCAGATTATCATGTTATGAGTGAAACATATATCATAAAATATTACAACCGTAAAAAGTGTAGTACAATAAAAATAATAATACAAGCTTATGCTGATATTATTGACCTCATCATTGCAGCAGGACCACCAGTCTCTATCTCATCCAAAATAGGTTTTAAAGATGGATCTTCTTTTATTCGCGCCATGCGTTCTTCAAGCTGCTCCTTGTGTGATGGATTAGCAAAATTTTCAAGCATGCTGGACATTGATGGATCCTGAGAAAATACGAGATCACATGATTAAAATTTCAACGACCAGATACCAATTCAACATATGAGAAGCTTAACCAAGATGGAAACAAAAATAAATATATACCTGCATTAACGCGCTACCAAGCCGCTCAGCCATGGACATAAATTGAGGATTTTGCATAACCTGTTGCATGGTCGAATAGTACTGTTGTGTATCAAACTGAGGGATTTCTTCTTCGGCTGGTGCACCATGAAAAGTCTTTTGGAGCTGCTCGGCCATCTGGTTAAATGAAGGATCTTTTGCTATCTGTTCAGCTAATTCCTTAATGCTTGGATCCTGAATTTGTTGCATGATGGATTATTAAAAGCAATATATAAGAGAAATTAATTAGAACTGGATGAGGCAACAATTTAGCATGTAGTGATTAAAAAAACTTTTGAGGGGGAGATGGAACTGATTAAATACTAATATTTTGTTACATAATTTGACATCAGTGGCCAACTTCAACATGAATTTTAAAACCCTTCCAGTCCGAATTTGAATGTAATTTTTTTTATTTTTCTTGCCTGAGTACTTGTTGCCATCGATCCTGCATTGGTTACATAATTTCACATCACTGGCCAACTTCAACATGAATTTTAAAAACTCCTCAAGTCCCCAAAAGAAATTTCAATATTATTTACCATGATTAAAATCAAAACCTATTTTGAAACTATAAATTTTAAACTTTGTGGTAAGAAAATCTAGATTCTGAGCATTGTGAAGACAACCACGAGGTCCACACATTAGTTACTGAACAAGAATTCCCCATGCCAATTGGACCTTAGGGTGGCAATACTTCAAACAGCGCCCAAAACTTTGAAATTTTGTGAGCAGGAAAGGCCCAAATCGTGTCTCCAAATATTCAAAGGATCAGTCCACCTATAGGCTAGATTATACAACTAATTCTAATTTGTATCAGTTGCCAGGCAATTGAAATTCATCTTCATACAAAAATGACCAAATCTGACATTAAATTCCTACATCTAATGCATAGACTATAGTAATGGAAAGATGAAACATTATCTCAATTGAGACATGGAACTGCAGAAGTAGACTGCATAAGACCTATATAAATGTCAAGGAAAGGCAAGAAAAATAATTTCGGTTGAGGAAACAATTAAAAAATATTAACATCCCCTTTCCTACCTAATAAAAGATTGACAACAGATGTAATGCAGCAAGTAAAACAAAATTGAGAGATTAAAAGCAAAATTGAGAGATTAAAAGCCATAACAAAGAGTCCATCACAACCAATCTGCTTGATAAGTCCTAAATCATCAAAGATTCACCGACAACAGCATCAGCCAAGGAGAGGTCACCTCTCTGAACTCTGGACTTCAGCCACCGAGCCAGGTACTTTCTAAGATTTAGAGGACTGACATATTCGTGTAACTCGAGGTGGGCTATACCGAAAATATCTTTGGTTCCAAAGATTTCCAACAACCTCAACACAACCTTTGATGCCACCTATATCTACATCTTCACCAATAGCTAACAGTCTTAACATTCATGACAATATTTAGAAAAAGAAATGCTGCATCTATTTTTTCTCAATTTCACTTCTTTTCTTTTTCTTTGGTAGAATATAGAAGTGGCTAAAAAAAGATCTTTATTCGGGAAGTAATAAAAAAATACACAGAACCCGGTTCTATTGAAGCTCATAAACTAGTTAATAAAAAGAGATATATTCAATAAGATGCAATGGAGATGTTAGTGACTCTAATCAGTTTGACATGCATTAATCTAAATATGAAGAAGTGCATAAAATGATATACATTAAGTAGGCCGGCCATAGCTGAGAAATCAAATGGATTTCCAGGAAACCCAGCTTCTGGTGCACCGGTTGCTGTTCTCTGTCCTGATTGTGTCTCCAATGAGGTTGATTCAGATTTCGCCTTCATATTCTCTGCTGGACTAGTCTTTTCATCTAACAAAAAGACCAGAAAAATAACATGAGTTATATGAACATAATCAATAACTCAAAAATTTTATCATTCAATAATCCCAAATCGAGTCATAACCATAAGATATGAAATGAGGCCTCAAAAATAAATAAATAAATAAATCATCCAAGTTGGCAATCATATGCGGATACCAAGAACACCAACAAAAATTATTTGTTCAAAAAAACAATCTTCACAACCAAAGCAAACAAACTTAAAAGCTCTGGACTAAAAACCCGTTTGGAAATTGGATTCAAATCACAAATAACGAGAATCTAGCAAACAACTACAATTTGAGATTAAAATCCATACGACCTATTCACCCTCTCTAGGTCTAATTAGCTGCACACGTCTGACTAAAAGCCCATTTGGGATTCCCGTTTAACCACTTAAAAAGAATTTTGATTTTATAGTTTTGCTTTTAAATGTATTTGGTAACTAAAAAAAGGCATTTTTAAATGTTAGATATTTTAGCTCACTTGATCTTTGAATGAAACTAAAATTTCTAATTTTTAAATTGCAATCTGGGTAGAGTTTCTATATTTTAGGTAACTTTACAATTTTATCTTTTTTTATTTTCTATAAAGATAATTTTGTTCCTTCTTTTATAAATTCCTACCTTTATAAAGTCCTACCGTTGTCATGTATAAGAACACTCCATTAAAAGGATATTATTGTTAAATTGGTAATAAGGATGGTGCAAGAGAACACTTCAATGTAGGAAATAGAGGTCCAAAGTGAATGGAAATTAAAGTGTCCCTTCCAAGTTGCAACATATTTTCCTGCGCAAATTCTTTTATATGTAAATTGGAGTTTCCAGCATATATAAAGATGGTGCAAAAAAATAATGCACAATTCAACATAAACAAAAATTGGATAAGTTTTACACATTACTTTGAGAGTTTTAGTTTGAAGTAACATTCAATGTAATATAATTATTTTTGTACATTTTATTACAACAATGTTATTAAATTTACTTACGGTAAAATTATAAGGTAACCAGTTTTCAAACTTCAGATCTTTTAGTTATCAAGTTTAATTCAGACGACACCAAAAAGATCTTTGAACATTCAGTAATTAAACACTACGTATCTAAAATTCAATATTCAATATTAAAGTTATTCAACATTTGATTTCCAGTTTTATGCAACAGCACCTTGATCTATCATTTAGGTGAACATTATTGATAAAACAAGGTAAGGGTTTCCATTGCATCCAAATCCAAGTATCAACAGAATCATGGTTGGGGTAAAACCTGCAAATCTTAGGTGGTGTTTGATAACTCAATTCAATGCTTCATTGTGAACAAATTAAGGGCTCATTGATCAAGTGTGTTTGACGACCAATTATTGATACCACTTGAAAGAATAAGTGTCCCTTAGGGTAAGATTTAAGTGTGAGGGATTAAACTTATCACTGAACACTTGAGATTCAAAGAGTCTCCAAAAAAAAAAACTATAATCACAACTTCAAAAATTCAGTTTTATCGAACAGCACCTTGATAAAATTGAAATAGATACATACATACATATATATATATATATATATATATAAAGCTAAACAACAACTCCTCTTACCCGAAGTTGGAACATCCTTCTGCGAATTGGAAGACATAACGCCTGTTTCGACCAGAGAAGTATAAAATCAATACAAAATCTCTTGAATAAATCAAGAGACGATCTAAGTAATTGCACACCAAATTGACAAATGATTCCAGAAGCAAGCAATCAGAGAAGAAGTGATTAGATTCAAACCTGATTGTGAGGGATAGAAAAGCAAAAGCCTTGTCGATCCACAGAATCACACACGAAATCGAAGAGGAGACTTTATCTTCCCCAATTTTAAAACCCTATGCACCACCGAGATGAGATAGCATATAAAGAAAGACACAATGTACAATGACTTCAGTGGGCCACCTCAATCCTCATCTCGCCAAATGAACGGCTTGGACCGTCTTTTATCATTCTACGATTTCTATCCTATAAAAATCATTTTTTCTTTTACATTTATCTTATATATATATATATATTTTACCACGACAACAAAATTCTCGCTCTCACTTAACTAGGTTAATTTTTTATCATTTTAAGTAGTATTTTGTAAAATATTTCAAAAAATTAAATTTTAGGTAAATAAATAAATTTGATAAGATGGCTAGTGATTTATTTATTTATTAATTTTTTATTTTGTTTTATTTATTTACTTTTTGAATACCCTTCAAGTGTAATTTTTTTTTTTTTTTTTTTTTTTCCCCTTTTGGAGATTGAGTTCAAATAAATTGAAAATTAAAGTAACAATAAGTGAGAAATACGGCCAATTTTTCAATAACTTTTCAAATTGTTGATTTAGTCTGGTTTATTTTAAATAGTATAACTTAATTTAATTTCGTGTCTCAATTTCATTTTCAAAACTAATAAACGCCCGTTTGAGCCCATTCAAATCACAATATATAAGTAAATGAGCCAATCTATTTTGAACTGTGATGTTTATACATGTATATAGTTTTGATTTTATTATTAGTTGGTAATAGCTTGTTAACATAAGTTTCCTATCACATTATATATAGTTTTTTTAAAAATTCACCCTAAAACATAAAACCAATGGTTCAATTGTACTTTTTCACATTTTAAATTATAAGGTCAATAAATCAAATACTCCATTCATAACCGTTGTGTAAGTGAATTTATTGCTAAGAAAAAACTATTGAATTGTTAATATATATATATATACACACACTTCACGAAAAGTGAGGTAAATAAGCTTTGTTTTAAACTACAAGTGATGTAGTTAAAATTGAAATATAGACTAAATTCAGAAAATGAAAATGATAGAAACCATTCTTGTACTATGCGGATTGATTCATTTTTAAATTATAGAAATCATCATTGTACTATATTCATCTTTTGATGATTCTGTTGGTTAAATTTGATACAGTTATAACTTTTATAAAAGTTTTAAACTTAATTTGATATACTAGTTTAGCCTTTACATCCAATTAAATTGATACATGTTAACTCTTATTGTGTGTTACAAGAGTTGTAAAGCACATGAAATGGTAAAGAGTCCTATTCCAATGGTGTATCGACACTCAAAGCATGTTATTCTCTTAACAGAAAAAGAAAAAAAGAAAACCACTTTACTTAAGTCAAGGTTACGAGTGTCTTTCCACTTAAATTACACCGTCCTTCTTAAGAAGTGTTACTCTTACGCTCTGAGCGCACTCCAATTTTCATATTTCACATGCATTTTCACTCAAATTTTCACTACTCATGACCTAATTCTGCCGCTCTTATGCTCCTACTCTCGAATTCACTCTCACTCTCGCTTCCGCTTTATGTGACTTAACTCCTCACCATTATCGGTTTGGTCCATGTTTAATTGGGGACCTTAGCAGATCATGGCTATAGGCTTTGTGGGCCGAGCTTATGTCACCATAATTGAGCCTAATGGGCCAGAACATAAGCATGACACAACTCACCTGAGGCCCAGTTTGTTTGAAAATAAATGAAAAAAAAAAAAAAAAGGGATAAGATTTTTATTTTGTTTTTGTGTTTGGTATAAAATGGAAGGAAAATAAAAGCATTTTGAGGAATACATTAAAAGCTTTGGTTTTATTATTCTTTAAATAATGAATGAAAGGCTACCATTTTTAATGAGATTTTATTATTATCAGATTTGCTCTTGTTTTTATAAAAAAATAAAATATATAATAGGATATGGTAGTAAATTTATTAGTATAATTTTTTCTTTCTTTCTTTCCACTAAACATGATATCCATCCTTCCCTTTAATAAGAATTTCATAATAACAGTATCATCTATACCCTTTATTTTTTTATTTACAACTGATTTCTTATACATCCATGCCAGTTTTATATATATGTGTGTGTGTGTGTGTGTGTATATTTTTAAATTATTATGATTATTATTTTTGGATGAGTTTTGCAAATTATACTTTGGAGCAAATCATATATATATATTCGGTCTCATTAAATATAAGCTCAATCGAATGCCAAAGTACTATAAAGTTTAAACTATTGTTTCAAATGTTTTTCTCACTTCAAAAGCGAGAAAAATTAATTTTTTTTTTTTATGTTTTCCAAAATAGTAGAACATTAATTAATCAAGCAAAGAAAAAAAAAAATTGACCAAGCACAACAAAGAATAAGAAGAACCAATGTTTTTATTCTTTATTTCCTGTGCTAAAAAACTCCTAAAAATATAGGACTCCATTATATTTTCTTATAACACAACAACACTTAGATTATGTTTGGATTGAGAGATTTGGAAGGATAGCGAGAAAAGAAAAGAAATGATATGATAGTATAAATTGTGTTCGAATTGAAAGCCGGGTGTTCACCGCTCTTCTAGAGAAGGGATAGCTATTTCTCTAAGTAATATTTTTATAATTTAAAAACTGCCTTCAATAATTAAAAAGATAAAATCATTATTCCGTTCATATCCTATCTATTTTAAAGAAGATGATAGTAATTTAATTGTGTTATTATTGTTCTTCTTTTCTCCCCTTATATCATATCCAAACAAATATATATATATATAAGGAGAGGAGAGAAAAGGAAAGAATAACATTGGTTATCAGATAAAAGGAAAAAATAAAAAATTATAATAAAAATTTTTATTTTTATTTGAATAGATAAAATATATATAATATATATATATTTTTATATATATAAAAATATATATATATTATATATATTTTATCTATTCAAATAAAAATAAAAATTTTTATTATAATTTTTTATTTTTTCCTTTTATCTGATAACCAATGTTATTCTCTCCTCTCCTCTCCTCTCCTCTCCTGTGTGTATCCAAACAAAGCGAGCTTGTTAGTTACCCAACTTTCTACTGGGTACTTTTTTCTTATAAAATGCCCCAATTAGGGTTTCCGGAGGACATACAACACAGAGTAATACTATTCCCTCCCAGGTCCGCCGCTTAGGCTTTGAGGTGGATATTACTCCCTATCTCACTCTCACACACAAGCACACACAGCATTTCTCCATCGGTCAACGCAATATTAATCACAGCCACCAGTGTAAAAAATACGCAGATATTAATATTTTGACAATCAGTCTTCCTTTTTCCTGTCAATGTAAAGCGAATCCGTATTTTGAACAATCTCTTGGGTTATCTCCTCCAAAATTTCAGGTGAATTTCTACTTCAGTCCATTTTAGTTTTGCTTCACAGAAACGACTGCACAGAAATTAGTTATAAATTACTTGTAATCAGAAACACCATCGAGCCATCTCTCAGAAATACAATGTGCGATGGCTCTTTTTCTTTCTACAATCTTCATTGCAATATGTGTATAGACGAGAAAGATAACAAATTTTGTATCTTTTTCATATTTATTGCCATATGTTGTGTGTTCGTTTTCTTTGTTTGTTGCAATCTGTGTATTTACAAATAGATTACTATAACTTTTTGTTTTCCTGACATGAAATTTCTGGTAGTTCATTTCAATATGCTGTGGTGGCACAGCCGAACTGCGGCTCTAGGTGCATTTCGATGGCCGGGATAACCCAGTTGCGTGTGAATGCGCTGGGTTTTTGAGTTATGGAAGTTATAACTCATGAGTGAGTTGACTCAGATCAGGTGTATGCAATCTCAGGTTTTGTTGTGAAATAGTGTAAAGGAATCGATGCTGTTGTTGGTTTTAGGCCTGCCCAAGTTAAACCAATGGACCATGGATGTTAATATAATGTAATGTATTTTGGATTCTGTGTGGGCTAGGGTTTTTCACTCTCTGACTTGGCAAACTCCCCAATTTTTGTTGTAGTTGGGTATCATTCCTTGTATGTTTACCCCATTATATTGGTTTGTCATTTTAGCGTTCTCATTTTTTAGAATATTGTTTGGTCAATTGAGTCTTAGTTCTGGTTTGGGGCTATGTGTCACTTCGATTGTAGAGTATGCATGTATGAGAGCTTATTGATTATATATGCGACCACGTACACTAGACTATGTCTGCCATACCACTTAATTTAGTATTGGATCAATGATAATTAACATACGGAAAATAAAAGTAGATATTTTGTGCCTAATTGCCCTTTTTCGCAAGCCTCATTCATGCATGCAACTCTCCTATATCTAAACTCTAAAGGCTAGCAGCATTCATGTTAGGTGGGCATATTAGGAATGGAGGAGGAGAAAAATTTTAAATTGGAACCTTATTCCTCTTGGCTTAAAACCCATTGTTTTCCAACAATAATTGTAAGGAAATGGTTTTGTGTTAGTTATGTGTGTGTGTGTGTGTGTTTTTTTTTTTTTTTCTTTTTGTCTTTATTATTATTATTATTTTTGCCACTTTCACTTTGTAACATGATAAAATTGATTTCCACAGACTTACTCCATATTTCTGGACTAGTATTGTCATTTATCTTCATCTTTGTATTGCTATAGATCTGAGGAAATGCCAAAATTATTAGTTTAAAACTTGCCAAGATGATCACTAAATAGAAATGGTCGGAAATGTATTCTTATTTTATATCTTTCTTGATTTAAAAAACAAGTCCATGCCCATTAGAAAAACTAATAGAAGGAGCTATAATATACCACAATCTCAAGAGTCCATCCAATGATTTTTATGTCTTTGGTAAATTTTTATTTTTACTTTTATTTTGATGAAGCTCCTAATGATAAGAAACAATGTATAAGTTTCAGCCTTGTCTGAAAATAATTGTTGAATCTAATATTATTTATGAGGGAGCGCGCCATAGCTTGTTTCCATGTTTTTAATTTTTTTGGTTGGGCTCTACTTTTCTTGATTTTGTAGTACAGTTTGATTACTATGACAATTAAAATTAGGCTCTGTTTCTATCTAATCTAAAATTTCTAATCAGATATGGGGAGGCCTTATGGGTTGAAATTATTCCTACAATTGCCCTATTTAATACAAGCCTTATACAGTCAAGAATCAAGATATGGTCTTCTGATCCTTGATTATGATTTATGATGCTTTTATTCCTAAGATTATTATATTTTGTTCCTAATCTTTTCATGTTATATTGTTTTTCCCTTGTTGAAGCTCCCAATGATTGAAACAATTTATAAGTTTCAGCCTTGTCTGAACATAGATGTTGAAACTAGTTTTAATTATGAGGGATCAGTGTCATAGCTTAATTGCTGTTCTTGCTATGTTCTTTTTTCATTTTAATTTCAAGGCATTAGGCTTAATTGCTGTTTCTTGTTAAATTATATTCTTCCTGGACTTCAAGGCATCAGGCTGATTCTGTTGGCCTCTCTTTCCCTAACATAGTTGGGAATTATTACTTTTCTAGGGCTATTGGAAGCCTATTGTGGCAGATTCTATGAAATTGCAAAAAAGAAGAATCTGATACTTCGTCGTATATAATAAATTATGGTGGTTCAACATAATTGGGTTGGGACATGGTCAAGTTGAGTCCCTACTACTGCCCTATTTAATACAAGCAGTCTAGATCTGATCTTTTGATCCTTGATTATGATTATGATGCTTTTAATCCTAAGATTGTTATTTTTTGTTCCTATTCTTTTCATGTTATTTTGTTTTTCTCTTGTTGAATCTCCCAATGATCGAAGCAATTTATAAGTTTCAGCCTTGTCTGAATGTAGATGTTGAAACTAGTCTTAATTATGAGGGAGAGTGTCATAGCTTAATTGATGTTCTTGCTATTTTTTTTTTTTTTTTTTTTCATTTTAATGTTGAGGCATCAGGCTTAATTCCTTTTTTTGGTAAATTCTATTTTTCCTGGACTTCAAGGCATCAGGCTCATTGTGCCCACGAAATTGGCCTCTCTCTCTCCCTATACTTCAACGTTTATAATAAATTATGGAGGCATTATAGAGGCTGATGTTCAACATAATTGGGCTAGGACACGGTCAAGTTGAGCCCCTACTACTGCCCTATTTAATTCAATCCGTATACAGTCAGATATGGTCTTCTGATCCTTGATTATGATTTATGATTTTTTTATCATAAGATTGTTATTTTTTATTCCTAATCTTTTCATGTTATTTTTTTCCCTTGTTGAAGCTCCCAATGATCGAAACAATTTATAAGTTTCAGCCTTGTCTGAATGTAGATGTTGAAACTAGTCTTAATTATGAGGGAGTAGTGCCATAGCTTAATTGCTGTTCTTGCTATGTTCTTTTTTCATTTTAATTTTGGCATCCGGATCATTGTGACGACAAAGATTGGCCTCTCTGTCCCTATTCTTCAATGTATATAATAAATTATGGAGGCATTATAGAGGCTGAGGTTCAACAAAATTGGGTTTGGACATGGTCAAGTTGAGCCTCTAAGGGGAGTCACATGCCTTTTTGTGATAGAGTTGTGCTGGGTCATTGAAAATTTGGGACAGGAAATGTTTTATGGCTTGGGCATTGTTGTACTCACCCCGCTATTTAAATGGGTTGTGTAAATCCACCACCACTTCGAAACCGATGAATTGCTTGACTTTTATTAAAACTGTCTCTCTCTATCAAACATATTTCATAGTGATTTCGCCGTCTTTATCCCCAATTTGTATCCTGGTAACATCGAAATCCTACTTGGCTGAACCTGATAACTGTTACATTGATGCATGTTTCAAAGTTGACTCTAAAATGTTGTGATGAACTGAATAAGTTGTTTTGAAATTTGTTTGGTTTTTTTTTTTTTTTTTTTTAATTCATTTCTAGATTTTTCCAAATTATCCCTATTGGGTTTTTTTTGAACTGTTGTAAAACATGTGTATGCATTGGAATCTTCTTATTCTCTTGAAACATTTCAACTATTTTCCCAATTTAAAACTGGAATGAGTGAATCCATTTGTTTATTAGCACGGTGTTTTTGAAATGCTACCATGTCTGAGAAATTTCATTGACAATATAATTGATGGGTTTGATCTGTCTTGGCAAACAGTAATAAGTAAAAAGAATAGGTATATGTTGTATTGTTGGCCCTGTCCTAGATCTCTATATCAATTGGGAAGCTTGTAATGCAAACCCACGCTTGTAGAAACTCTGAAAGGAAAGAAATTCCATTAAAATGTAGTATACATACGTATACCACACACACACACACACACATATATATATATATAGAGAGAGAGAGAGAGATGAGCAATGAAATACTAAAATAAGCCTATAAGAGATATAAGAATCCTTCAGTCTTCATATAGCTTCATGATACACACACACACACATATATATATAAACAATGAAATAAGTTTATATCCTGTTATGAATTTGGAAATTTGTGAAACTTGCTTTGCCCGGAGAGCGTATCTTCGTATATATGTGCGTGTAGATGGATGAATATTCATGCACATATACTTGTAGATATCTATCTCTCTACAAAGCAAGTTCCAATTTTTTTGGATTACTAGGTTTATTTTATTGCTTATATATATGTGTATAAATGTCCGGTGGTTATCTTAGTATTTTGTTGCTTATACATACGTAGACAACATTTCTGAGTTTCTTTCTTTCGGTGTGGGTTTCATTAGTACAACAACTGTATGAGAGGTAATTTTCTTTTTGATCTTAGTGTGTATTCAAATCCATATATAAATACACACAACATTCACGTATAAGAGTAGTAATGTCCGACAATCTTGGAATTTACATGAACACATCTCAAAGTTTTAACCCTTTCATTTTTACATTTTTTCGACATTGTTCGAATGGTCTTTACAAGTCCTTGTTGGGCACGTGTAGGATAGTGACATTTCACATATACTCAAGAATCCATGTTTGACACTATGGACGTGTCTAATTTCAGACACTTCGAGTGACACAACTTGGACACTACCAACACAAGTCTTATGTAACTCTAACATGTGTAAGATTAGCCACATTCGACCATATTAGAATGGACGTGAACACGCCTTGTTCATCTTGAAGTGTTAACCTTTTTATCTTTAATTTTTTTTTTGTTTTTTGACATTGTTCAAATGGTCTCCACAAGTCAGTGTGGGGCTCGTGTAGGTATGGCGTACCTTATCGCCAGGGGAGAGATTGTTGACACTTGTATGTGTGGATCTCTCTCTTAAATGTGTAGACCTGTTTTTAAACCTGTAAGCACGGGGGGGTGTGCAAAATGAAATAAATCTATACAGCAGGGCGGGTCGTGATTGATGTTATTAGAGCCAATCCCCAGCCAAAAAATGAGGGAAGCGTGCACAAGTCCATGAGAGTCGGGCCAACAAGGATGCTGGTTCCCAAGAGGGGTGATTGTGATGATATCACCTGGGGGGAGAGGTTGTTGGCACAATACTTATTTGGATTTGAACTGCAAGGAGGCTCCAACTTTTCAAGAATCCAGAAAATTTACATTTGCGTTGGATTTTTTAAGACATGAATGGTATTTCTTTATTTCCAAAAAAAAAAAAAAAAAAAAAAAAAAAATTCTTTGCAATTAAAATGTATCTGGTCATCCTACTGAAATTTGCCATTCCCACCTGCTATCAGAAAGTGCTTCACAACATAAATAATTCTCCTTGCTAAAATATGAACAAATTCGCTTTTAATTCAAATTTAAAACTGAGCTCTTGCCCTTGGTTTTGTGGCGGTGGAATAATTTTTTTCTTTTTTGTTTCCATCTTTTATATTACTTTTTTCAATCAAATGCTATCTGAAATGTACTATTGAATAGTTTTCAAGGGGCACCCGACACTCCTGGATAGTTGCATTGCACATATTGTAAGCATATACAACAAGAGGATCTGTCAGTATAATGATTATATGGATATTTTCAGATCTGATTTTTTTTCTAAGCAATGAATTCTTACTTTGTGGAACTGTTAAAATACTAAGCTGTTTCTGTGTTAGTCATTCTTATAATTTTCATCCTTCTGAGATAGAATTTATTGGTGAGCTCAGGTTCCTCCTCAATTGAGCACCACCACTATCTAGCCTGGATTTCCTTTGGCAACAGTGATTATGTTACATTTCCATGTGCATACACAATGTTCTCCAATTTTAAAATCTCTTTTTTTCCCTTCTTTAGAAGTTTTCTGGCTCAAAACACTACAGCATATACAATTTGAAATTACAGGGTATATGTTGTATTGCTGGCCCTGTCCTAGATCTCTGTTTCACTTGGGAAGCTTGTAATGCACTGTGAAACCCACACTTGGAGAAACTCTGAAAGGAAAGAAATTTCATTAAAATGTAGTATACATATGTGTGTGTATATATATATAGGTAAGCAATGAAATACTAAAATAAGCCTATCAGAGATATAAGAATCCTTCAATCTTCAGATAGCTTCATGATACATATATATATATATATATAAACAATGAAATAAGTTTATATCCTGTTATAAATTTGGAAATTCATGAAACTTGCTTTGCCGAGAGGGAGTATCTTCGTATATATGTGTGTAGATGGTTGAATATTCACGCACATATACATCTAGATATCTATCTCTCTACAAAGCGAGTTCCAATTTTTTTGGATTCATAGGTTTATTTTATTGCTTATATACATGTATATAAATGTCCGGTGGTTACGAGTTTCGTTTTAGAGAATGATAGGCTTATCTTAGTATTTTGTTGCTTATGCAGACGTAGACAACATTTCTGAGTTTATACAAGCGTGGGTTTCATTAGTACAACAACTGTATGAGAGGTAATTTTCTTTTTGATCTTAATGTGTATTCAAATCCATATATAAATACACACAACATTCACGTGTAAGAGGAGTAATGTTTGACAATCTTGGAATTGACATGAACACACCTCAAAGTTTTAACAACCTTTTTATTTTAAATTTTTTTTCGGCATTGTTCGAATGGTCTTTACGAGTCCTTGTTGGGCACGTGTAGGATAGTGACATTTCACATGTACTCATGAATACATATTTGACAGTATGGACGTGTCTAATTTCAGACACCTGGGTGACACAACTTGGACCCTCCCAACACAAGTGTTATGACTCTAACATGTGTAAGATTAGCCACGTTCAACCATCTTAGAATGGACATGAACATGCCTTGTTCATCTTCAAGTTTAACCCTTTTTTTTTTTTAAAAAAAAAAAAAAGGGGTTGACATTGTTCGAATGGTCTCCACAAGTCAGTGTGGGGCATGTGTAGGTTTGGCGTACCTTAATGCCGGGGGAGAGGAGGTTGACACTTGTATGTGTGGATCTCTCTCTTAAACGTGTAGACCTGTTTTGAAACCCGTGAGCACAGGAAGTGTGCAAAATGAATTAAATTTATATAGTAGGGCGGGTCGTGATGGATGGTATCAGAACCAATCCCCAGCCGAAAAATGAGGGAACCATGCACAAGTCCATGAGGGTCAGGCCAACGAGGATGCTGGGTCCCAAGAGGCGTGATTATGATGTCCCATATCGCCTGGGGAGAGGTTGTTGGCACAGTATTTATTTGGATTTGAACTGCAAGGAGGCACCAACTTTTCAAGAATCCAGAAAATATACATTTGCGTTGGATTTTGTAAGACATTGATGGTATTTCTTTATTTCCAAACAGAACAAAAAACTAATTTTGTTTCTCTTTGCAATTAGAATGTATCTGGTCATCCTACTGAAATTTGCCATTCCTGAAGTACTGACCTACTATCAGAAAGTGCATCACAACATAAATAATTCTCCTTGCTAAAATATGAACAAATTAGCTTTTAGTTAAAATTTAAAACTGAGCTCTTGCCCTTGGTTTTGTGGCGGTGGAATAATTTTCTTCTGTTTCCATCTTTTATATTACTTTTTCTATTAAATGCTATCTGAAATATACTACTGAATAGTTTTCAAGGGGCACCCGACACTCCTGGATAGTTGCAATGCACGTATTGTAAGTATATACAACAAGAGGATCTGTCAGTATAATTATTATATGGATATTTTCATATCTGATATTTTTACTAGGCAATGTATGCTTACTTTGTGGAACTCTTAAAATACTAAGCTGTTTCTGTGTTAGTCCTTTAACTTTTGTATGTGTTGTCTTATCACATCATTCTTGTAATTTACATCCTTATGAGAGAATTTATTGGTGAGCTTAGGTTCCCCTGGCAACAGTAAATATGTTACATTTCCATGTGCATGCACGATGTTCTCCAATTTTAAAATCTCTTTTTTTCCTTTTTCTTCTAGAAGTTTTCTGGCTCAAAACACGCATTATCTTTCTCTGCCAAGACTGAAGTGAGGGGAGTCCATTTATGTACACTAATTTGTACAGCAGGGGACCTACCATGCAAGCAGTTTCCCATTTTCATCCGATATGTTACTTATCTAACAGGTTTTTATTTCTCTCATTTGGCGTGCTCTCACCTCTGAGTGTGTGCGTCTATAGTTTAATTTAAGACGCTTGTCTTCTTTTTATTGACTTCTACTTGAATATTTAAACAAATTGCAGAAGAAGCTCTATTGAACCTGGTGGTTGGATGAAAATGAACGCCCCAAATTCAAGTCAAAATGCTGGAAGGGTGGAATTAACTGGAGCAGCTCAACTTTGTAAGTTTTTTATACCTGTAAGAAGATCCAGGTTGTTTGTGATTCCCAACACAAATGACGGTCACCCATGTGTTTCACCATCCGAGGAAAATACAAACATAAACCATGCACTTGCAGAGACATCGTTGAGCAAATGGTCTCCTCCTAGGTACCTATGGAGGGGATTATCAGTTCTTATCCTGGCAGGGCAGGTAATTATTAGGATTTTAATGGGTAAAATCCACTGGAGGAACACTCTCCAACAGCTGGAGAGAGTTGGTCCACGGTCAGTTGGTGTCTGTCTGTTAACCTCAGCTTTTGTTGGCATGGCCTTCACTATCCAGTTTGTTAGAGAATTCACAAGATTAGGCTTAAACAGATCTGTTGGTGGAGTATTGGCCCTAGCCTTCTCAAGGGAGCTAAGTCCTGTGGTCACATCTATTGTAGTTGCAGGGCGTATTGGGAGTGCCTTTGCTGCAGAGTTGGGGACAATGCAGGTTTCTGAGCAAACAGACACTCTAAGAGTTCTTGGTTCAGACCCAGTCGATTATCTAGTGACACCAAGGGTCATTGCTTCTTGTGTTGCACTACCATTTTTGACTTTGATGTGTTTCACAGTAGGGATGGCATCTAGTGCTCTCCTTGCGGACGGTGTTTATGGAGTTAGCATTAACATTATATTAGATTCTGCTCAGAGAGCTCTTAGATCATGGGATATAATTAGTGCAATGATCAAGTCTCAGGTTTTTGGTGGAATCATATCTATTGTGAGCTGTGCTTGGGGAGTTACCACCATGGGAGGTGCGAAAGGTGTTGGAGAAGCAACTACCTCTGCTGTGGTTCTCTCTCTTGTTGGTATCTTTATTGCCGATTTTGCACTCTCTTGTTGCTTCTTTCAGGGAGCTGGAGATTCACTGAAGGATTGTGTATAATCTTTGCAAACTTTTTGTTGATTGGCTTATGATGCTTGGGTAATTGGGAAGTTATTCGCTTTTATAGTTAAAATTGCCATCAAAGAAAGTGGAGCTCTTGTTCTTGTAAGTGCTTTGTAAACTTGTATAAAAAGGACATATTTTATCAGTCAGAACCTATTCCACCTAATTTCCAAAAAATAAAAACCTATTCCACTCACTAATGAACTGTTCCAACTCCTCTGTTTTCTGTTCTTCAAAAAATTACCGGATGTAACATTGAACAATGTTTATGTAAAAACACTAGTACTGGGCATCATGATAACATATTTGAGTAACTTTGTGTATGAAACATTCTATACGTTCAATTTGTTGTCCCTTGAATTTATTTTGTTCTCTTTTGGTATTTGGTGTCTTGAGATAGTGTTTACAAGAAAATTAATTATATACTAATCATAATTAGTGAATCTTGAGAGCATTCACTAATGAAAAATGACTTCCAGTGTCTACGAATTTTCTTTCCCTGTTTGTCAGAGTAGGAGGGTTGAGAAAACGGAGAACCATCGGGACGTCAGTATATGACTTCCTTTAAACAAAGAAAGTACAATTGAAAAAAATCAAATGATGATTTGGTTGCTTGACAAGAAAGTCTGCGAATTCATATACATATATTTCTATATCTATAGAAACCCAATTTTTATACCGTTATACATATATTTCCAAATCTATAGAAACTTAATTTCTATATGGTTATAATCGCCGTTAGTTATTATCTTTCACCATATGAGTTATCTTTTTCCATTATTTATTTTTTTACTAGCCAATGTATGTTATTATCTCTGTGGTGGTGTTGATGTACAAACTAATTTATTCAGTCTAACTAGCTACTAATATGAACTTAGAGATAAAGTGTTATGGGCCTTCTGGCTGTTGTTTGAGCTGAATTGATGGTCAAAAGAGAAGAAATTGAATTTAAACAATGTACTATAAGTTAAAATTATATTTTATTTAATCAGAAAAAAGAGTCGATAAAATCTAGTACTACTTGCCTACCGCACTTGAAAGGAAGTGTGGACTCTCAGGTTTTTTGAGCATACTTTGTACTGCGGATACCGTTGGTTTAGAAAGAGTACAATGTATCCGACAATAAAGAACCGACTCTTCAGTTGTAATTAGTGTTTGTGGCCCCTATGCGTCAATAATGCGGGCTCAAATCTTAAACCAGTAATGTTCCATATATATATATATATATATATATACACATATATATAATCTCTTCCGATTTCAGTCATATGCGTATGCCCCTCAACAAATCTAAAAATTATCTGAGAAACTTCATCATAGATGATCATAATGGACTATAGTCCCTCAATGGTCAAAAGAGAAGAGGAGAGGGTGAACAGCAAAGTTTCAGTATTTACTTAATTCACAATTCTAAAACCATATAGTGGAGGTAATCCGAACTGAGAGAGACTGGACATGTTCTTGTTTCATTTCAGTGTTTAATGAAATTTTCTTAATTCTTGATCGCTTTCATGAACAAAATTTAATCTAGAATTGGTTTCAAAAGATGGGTTTGTGAGTAATACTGTTGTTGTAGGAAACACAGGATTTTTTTAGTGACTTTTATTTGTGGTATTCAATTAATTTGTTGGAGAAGATGAAAGAAAAATGAGATAAAAGGAATGGAGTTTAAGATTTATTTGTGAAGGTTGAAACTTTAGTTTTACACGTCACTCAGTCGGTTTTTAAGTTGTAAAGTTTGTTTTCATTTCTATTTAGGGTTAAGAGTAAAAAAAAAAAAATCTATTGGCCTTTTACAAATAATTCCTGAACTAAAAACTGCATCGTCAACTATTGATTTATCATAATTAAGGACAAATTCATTACAAAAGACTATTTTACCTTTTTTCATTAAAATTTTCATTTCTTATTAAATTATTTTTATTATCTTTTCTCTTATATAAATATTAATTATACTATTTACCTTAATTTTATTAATATCAATTTATCATAAAAATTAAAAAAAATAGATAAATAGATTTGTAACTAACATTTTCTAAATTGATTAACTTATTATTAAAACTTTATTATTTATAATAAAACGTATTATAATCAATTTAAATATTTTTATCTTTAAAAAATACTCTGTATAATTTTTTTCATACAATATATTGATGAAAAATTAATAAAATACTTTTAAAAAAAATACCTTTTTTTCCATGTAATATATTCATTAAAATTTTAAAAATTAATTAGTTTTTTTTAAAAAAAATTATACTAAAAAAATTTATTTAAATAAATAATTAAAAAAATAAAAATTAAATTAATTTAAATTTAATAAAAAATATCTCATCAAATTAATATGAATTTTTTCTTAATTTATTTAGATAAAAATAAATAAATAAACATACTTCAATAAGAAGAGCATTATGGTCATTTAATAAAATATAATATAATTCTTAAGTATGTAACAAAATGAAATAGTTTAAGGGATTTTTTTGCACAAAATATAATTCAAGGAGTTATTTGCAAATTCAAACGTGCTCTCTATTTATTTATTTATTTTTTTTTTGGACTTTACCCTTTCTAGTACCACCAAAACAAATGGAGGGTAGTGTAGTAATTATGCCTTGAAGGGAAATCCCTATATAAACCACAAGAAGAAATCCCTTTCTTCAAAACCCTAGTTTTTTGCAGCAGCTAAGTCGCCCGCCTCCTCCCTCCCTCCCTCTCCGAGACTGCGCAATGCCTCTAAAAACCCTAGTTTCTACGGAGTCATAAAATAAGTCTTCTTCCTCTTAGCCTCTCTCTCTCTTTCTCTGTGTGTGTGTGTGAGACTGCACAATGCCTCTTTGAGTAGCCATATGAATTGCTACTAATATAGTAGTGGGGTTTCATATATTGGCTTAGTTAGGGGGCAGAGATGAAATTGGGATCCGATTTTCTATCTGATCCCTAATTCTAAGGCCTTTTGAGGGGACTCTTGATTTGCTCTATGAATTGTCCCCCAAGCATACCTTGGACATTTCCCTTCTTTTTTTCTTTTTTCTTTTTATCTCTATATGTACATATTTTTATATAAAACATTGATTGATTGATTAAGATATGATAGATTGATTAAGATATATGTGTATGGTTGGAATTGCCTCAGAATAACCGGAAGGAGATGGAATAGATAGACGCCGTCCGGTTCAGACAGAGGCGCACAATGACTCCGAATCGGTTTGAGGGAAAGGAACTATAACTAGTTGTGTATTCTCACTTCTTGAACGTTCCTTTCCTAGATTGATTCGGATATTTATTTATTTTTTCTATTTTCCTACCATTTCGTGTAATTGATTGTATCTATATCTATATATATATATATATATATAGATTTATATGTGTGTTTATGTATATGTTGAGAAATGAATCGGCATCTATATCAATCAGGTTGACAAAAGTCTCAAACTACAATTTGAAATTACAGGGTATTATTATTAAGTTAAATTAGTTATTGTTACTTGGTTATTGTTACTCAAAGTGGCGCTAATGTTTTGAAATTAAATAGTGAGCTTCTGGTTCATGTTATGAGGATAGTTTTGGGTTCAAAGGATTGAGTTCTTTTTTTAAGTTAGGCAGGATTGAATTCTTGATGTTAATATGTTTTGTCAGACGTGTCTAAACCTAAAATTGATAAGAGGGAAATTGTGCTTAATTAATAAAATCCGAGTGCAATGAAAATCCAGATAGTGAAATTATAAAGGTGAAATAAAAAATAAAAAAGGTTTTCTCGGGTTTTTCATAATTAAAAGATGAAGATTAGGGTTTTATGGTTTCAAAAATGAGGAGATTTGGTAAGGAGAAAGAGAGAACCAATGGTCTTTTTGGACGAATGATCCATGTTTAATTAGTTTGACCCATGTTAATTAGCTTTTAATTGGACCAAGTGCCCTCTAAGAAGAAAATTTTTTTTTTTATGTGACCAAGGCAAAAGCATTATTCAAAATTAAATCATATACAGTGTGAGAGAGAATTTGTGGGTTGTGTCCTATCAATTGTTTGGATAATTTGAAAAAAAAATTTAGTAATATACTACTTTTTTTACTCTTAAAGAAAAATTAAATTTTCATATAATAAAAAACAAAAGTTAAAAACTTAGCAAATTACTTGTAGCAGAAGATGAAGTAGTAGGGCCTCTTACGAGAAGGAAAAAGTATGAACCTTTAAAGGTACAACTATAAAAGAGTACACGTTAAGGTATACAGCACAATCAAAATGAAAATGAACAAAAGTAGCAAGTTTGCCAAGTTATGCTTATTTAATGAGGTTTAATAACATTATAATTAATATTAAACTCTTGTAAGGTACAACAATAATCATAATGAATATAATCAAAGTTGTAACTTATATTTACTTTAATATAATTTGATGAAAAGATTGTTAAATATTAAATAGTTTTCTCTTCTGTTTTTTTTATAAGTAAAAAAATAAATTTGTTTTGTTACAGTGTTCAAAATTTAACTCATTTTGAATGAATTGTTTATTTATTTATTATTATTATTCTTTTTTAAGGTATGTAGTCATTTCAAATGTATCAGACACGCCTTCTGTATCCTTATCCGGATATATTGTCCACTATGATGCCCTTAGTAGTACTAACTAAATGAATTATTATATCCCAATTAAAGTACTTAGTTACTTTACTAAGTCGAAAAAGTAACATTAGTTGGATTTGGACAGTTAAGGTATGTAAATGACTAAGGATGTCCAATCATCTTCAAAAACCTATTTAACACTGTTGGGCTAGTGACAATGTCTTCCATTATTTTTTTATCCAAGAAATTGGGATTAGTTGTGCTAGTGATGGCATGTCTAAACCCTAAAGAATGTAGTATTTGGTTATCTCTTGACATGTCATAGGGGTGACTATATATATGTATATATATAATAAATAAAGTGTAATATAACAAGGGGAGGTGACGATTAATATCAATATATATATATATATATATATATATATATATAGTTATTTCATTTTATTGCTAGCTACTTTGGGCTTTTAATTAATACCTAAACTCTAAGGCTTTGTTTGGATTGAGTAATTTGGAGGGATTTGAAAAGAAATGATAGTAAAAATTATGTTTGGATAATTTTTAGTGGAGAGAAGAAATCTCTCCAAATTCTTTATGTGTTATCTTCTAAAAAAAATGAGAAGTCTTAGAGAGAAAGAAGGTTAAGTAAGTAGTATTTTTATAATTCTGAAATTATCTTTTTATAAAATTTGACTCTTATCTTATAACATTTTATAAAAAAATTATAATAATAATTTAATTCTTGTCATTTTTTTTTTTTAATTTTCTCTTATCTATCTTTTTCGAAATAAGAATACTACGATTTCTTTTAATTTTTTTTTTTTTTTTTTATGAATTATTACTATTCTTTTCTCTTATAACTAATGTCATTATTTTTATCTCATATTTATTAAAACGAAATCTAAATACTCCTATATTATTATATAAATCACGTGCATCATATACGCAGCCTCAAGATCACTGTCGACTAGTCCAGTCGTCTCCAACCAAATTTGGCAAGTGCATGGTACCCAGCACAAAGCTGCCAATGGAGTCATCTCATCATTCAATTCCTGTAAACCCCACGATGTCACTGTTGACCATTAGACAGTGTTTGGGTATTTACATTTTTGTCAAACCCAATAATGGTGGACAACTTTCCATGGTCGGTCCCTAGCTTAATAAAAATCTCATTTGAATTATAGGGTTTGGTTGTTCAATTGGTCGTTTTCTTTTCTTGTCACAACCAATAAAAATATCTGCAATAATTATAAGATAAATCTTATTAGCTAGACAATCAAGTTTCTTTAATTCAATCCTATACTATTACTCTAGTTAATGTCTACTGGATATTAAAATATATTTGTTTTGTGGTTTGTGGATTTTTTTTTTTTTTTTTCAATTTTAAGACAGAATTTATAATACCACATATTATATGAAAATAATTTATTAGAGCAAGTCTTTTCAAAATGATTCAGTATCACGTTATGTCAGTATCACCATTATATTAACATATTAAAATTGTTTTAAGAGAATTATAAAAAATAATTTTCTTAAAATAAAGAGTTTTGCTTGGTTTGTAATTTTTTTGAAACAGTTTTTTATTTTCAAATAACTGAATATATAAAATTATACAAAAACTTTGCATTATTTAATTTTTCGAAAATTGTTTTTTTTAAACTCAATTATAAAAATATCTATTTTTAGAAAATTGAATCAAGCAATTTTTTTTGTACATATTTCTAATTTTCAGTTATCTAAAAATATTAAACTATTGTCAAAAAAATTGAACCAAATAAACCTCTAAGTAGTTAAATACTCAGCCCTACTTGGTTTGTCACTCAAAGAAAACACAAAACTGTTTTCAGATAATTATAATTTAAAGCTGAATTTTCAAAAAATAATTTTCAATCCTAATTTTGTAGAATTTTTTAATTTTCAGTCCTTTGAAAACATGTAAAATTGTTTTCGTGTCTTCCTCCTAGAATAAAATCTCTCTCCCCCTTGTCCATTCCATCCTTTGGTCTTTGAATCTAATTCCAAAACTATTTTAAATTTGCAAACTTAAAATAAAAATCTCTTCATTTTAATTCCATCAAATCATCGATACAAACAAAAGCTATTTACTAGGTTGCAAAGCATACGCTAATATTATATAAATATTAGGGTCTAACTAATTTAGATGGTTATTGTTTAGTAGACATTCACTTTCATCAAACAACATATTACAAACTTGACAGTGGTCTGACATGGATTGCATTTACATACATCATACTTTGCACATAATTAATAATTATATGCACCCACATACATTTATAATAAGCAGAGTTTTACATAAAACATAAGGAATCTAGGAAGACAAAAGGATAGAGAATCTTTACATATACATTCAATATATTAGTACTATGTACATACAAAATACAAATATATAAGATCCTCTACAGATCTGGTACAACTGACATCTATAGCCATATCTATGCATTGAGATTGTTGATGCTGATGAACGGCCTGGATTGGTTGCAAGCACACTGCTCTACAGACCATCATAGTAACCTCCACATGTAATTTGAGCTATGGGCAGTGGCACACCTCTTGCTACTGAAATTGCATCATTCAATTTACTTGGATGCTTGATCTTCTGCAACAACAAATTAGGGTCAAATCAGATTGTATTAGTTCATAAAATTGAGATCTAAAGACTGTTTCGGTTGTGAATTTCTTAGGATTTTAAAGAAAAATGTGGCTTCTTGAATATTTATGATTGATTATTAGTCCAATTCCTATTGCGGACTCCGAAATGATTAGATGTACACTGTCTTATCCCGAAGACTGATTCGGATTTCAAACACTACTCTCAGAAAGTTGGAAAGAATTAGATATTCACAGCTTTATCTTGGAGATACTTATTCCGATTTCAAACCGGGATTTGAAAAGGACTAGATGTACATGGCCTTATCTCGAAGATTGATTCCGGTATCAAACCACTCATGTGTCTTCTGACTATGTTTTAAGTGAAGTGACTACCGTTAGTAACTTCTGCAAAGGTACTATTAAGACTCAAATATGAAGAAACTGAATTGGGTTATAAAAAAAAAAATTTGAAAATTTGGCAAAAATATGCAAACCTTGTCATCAGTGTAGATCTGAAATCTTAGCTTCTGATTCTTTTGATGCTGTTTGTTTCTCTGACTGCCTCCAAAGACGATGATGCATATGGTGGCAGCAGCAACACCAAAGGAGCAAATAGCACCAACTCCGCTCAAGCTCCACTTCCATAAGTTCAAACCACCACTGTTTTCTTCCCAATTGACCTCTTCTTCACCATGTGATTCCAAGTTCTCTTTTTCAGCCTTCAGATTTGATGGAAAGCTCTTGCTTTCCTTTTCCTGATCTTTATCTTCAAATTGAAAAGCACCCACATCAATTTGAGGAACAATTCCCCTGGTTCCAGACCTTGGGGAATCCATTTTCATGTCGACGAATTCGTTTTCTTTCTTGAAGAAAACTTGAGAAACCATGTCCTGATCAGCCTCCACAGCTGCAGTGTTTGCAGCTGTGATCTGCTCACTCGGCATGGATGGCACCAATTTGATCTCAATTGGTACCTTATTGGTATCTTTCCTTACTTCATCATCCTTGGCCTTGTTCATCATTGGTGGTTCCAATTGAAAAATTGGGACAGGAACAAGTTGATTCGGCACCCTTGACTTCTCCGGTTTCTCTCCCAATTTCGGAGAATTGGGGGAGAAGTAGTTCATCCTGAACACACTTTTCTGATCACTTCCATATTTTCTCGAGAAAATCATTTTGCCACCATCATCATGGATTTCAAGAAACCCATCATCAGGGAGGAGTTCCCACTCATCAAGATCCATTTCATCTATAGGAGAGAGAGTGTGTGTGTGTGTGTGTGTGTGTGTGTGTGTGTGTGTTTTTTCCTTTTTGGGAGAGAATTGGGGATGGGATGATGGAGGCAAAGAGGGGGGTTAAAATATCAGAGAGCTTGGGGGTGTTGAAAAGTTTTGATTCAAAGAAGGTGGCTTCTCATGGAGTGTAGTGAGGAATTTGTGTAAGAGGAGGCCACCCCATGGTGTGTGTCCTCTTGCTCTTGGAGTGAAGATTGATTCAGCTGGGAGAGGGGATATATGATAGATTTGGTTGGGAAGAGCTTATCCTTCTAAAAGGGAACAAAGGAGAGCATGGTCCACTGGGACCCACCATATTGAAACCCCTTCTGAAAGGGTCCTTGGATATTTCTTTTCAATTTCCTATTGGATTGTTGAATGAACTTTTGGTTAAATATTATGACTTCGGATAAATGTAAACCATGGTATACAATCAGATGACGAAGAGAATTGATGCTTCAACCATCCCAGGGTTTTGACTTGTTTGTTATTTTATATTTTTCCCTCGAATTCTGTGTGCAAATAGTATTTTGGCATAAGTGAACATGTTTATGTTTTATTTAACTAATTTAATTTTTTCTTGAAGCTGAACATGAAAGTTAAAAGATTACTAGTTTAAAATTGAAAACTTATATGTTAATTTTTTTGTAAACAAGTTGAAAAATATTTGTTCTTGTTTAGAGACAAGTTTGGAAATACTCGTTCAATAAAGAATTAAGTTTAAAAATTCTATAAATAGAGTTGAGATTGAATAGAGAAAAAGAGAGAGAGAAAAAGAGATAGCTTTAGATAGAAAAAGTAAATCGAGTTTGTGAGAGAAAAAATAATGTATAAACTAAAATATTGAAGTAAAATAGTCGTACTTCACCTTTAGACATAGACAATCTCGTTTTGTATCTGTATGTGCGTTTTTATCGTTATATTTGCTTCTAACACAATTCACATTATTTATGTACAATTCTACATTTATGATGTAATTACATTATTATTTTATGATGTTACATGCAAAGACGTGGCACCACAAGAGGAGATATGTTGATTTCTCTCTAGACACTTCAAGGGAAAGAGTTTTTTAAAAATAGGAAAGATTCTCCAATCTGTCTCACTCTCACATGAATGAAGAAAAGCGAGGATTGCTTGTTAGGGTTTGCTTGGAATGGCATGGATTGGAAAGGTCTTAGAAGAGGAAGAGGAAAAGGAAAAGATGAAAGTGAAAGGCTGTACAACTGTCCATTGTTTGGTATCGTTATTGAATTTAATAACATGATCAGTTAGAGGATTAAATAACCTCGAGAGTCTTGTAGATTACCTTAGGTACCTTGAATGGTGAATTGACATGTATGCCTTTAAATGCGGCAATAATGCCAAATGTATTAAATTTCATATTCCAAAATAGAACAGAGAAGAAATTAGTAGGAGAAAACTACACAACACAAGTGATGTGCATGTGAGGGTCCACAATATGTAGAAACCATAAAAAGTTAAATTGAGAATCAAAGAGAAAAAATTGTAAAATGAAAAAAACTAGTTGGGGAAAATTATCCTTGTGTAACCATGGCTTCAGAGAAGGAGATAGAAGACGAATTGTCACTCAAAATAGCCTTCATATGTCTTTTTTTTTTTTTTTTTCCTCTTTTGAATCTTTTCTTCGAAAAAACACTCCTATACCAATTTTGTTCAAATCAGAAAAACCACTAAATTGTAACCTGGAGTATGTATTTTTGTTGCTTCTGAACATCTATATGATATGACAGCAAACAATTGATGCCGTTTGTCTAACGATAAAAGGCCATAATGGTCTGTACCCTAATCAGTAAGGGAATAATAATTATTCCTTTTATAGCCATGCAAGTGATGCATGTTTGGGCATATCAACCATACATTTCTGGTATTTATTTATTTATTTTCATGGCAAAAATGTTAGAATAGAAGTGATAGGGTGAGAAGGCTTCTAACCGGACTCTCTAAGAACGAGGAGCAACTCAACCACTCAATTACGACAGGTATGTGTATACATTTTGGTCATTTGGTTCAATTAATTTATTTTCATTAGCAGCGTGCCTTGACCTTTGTTTTGTTTTCCGTCTTGGGCATCTTATCGCGTTAGAGTTTGGGTAATATTTTAGTCTTTTGTTTTTTTTGCTTTGATATTTGTTTTGCCGTCTTCTCCGTCACATGGCGTTAGTCTTTGGGCAATATTGTATTTCTCCGGAAATTAATATTCGGGTAATATTGTACTTTTTTTGCTAGGCTGTGTGCATATTTCAATACCCATATTTACCTTGCAAGTTAAACTCATCTTTTTACATATCGCTTATGTAATAACTTTTTTTTTCTTTTTTAGTCGATATTCAAACACATATTGTTTTTACCGAGACTTAAACCTAATATTTTAAAGACATTCCTTTGAAAAAGGGGAGTTTGATACTGCTGGTTTAATAACTCACATTGCATGTACAAAGTAGGCACGAATCCAATCCAATCAGGTGTAAAAAAAGCTACCTTGCGTCATGGCAAAGTCATTGGAGGTGAGAGGATACCAACTAATTAAACGTGGAGTCTTTTCACAGATTATTAATCGATGCCGCATGGAATGTCCCACCAATGGACAATGCCTACCCAATTGATAGTGAAACACAGCTCATGCCTAAAAGGTTTTCACTCCAATTGCATTGTCATGTTGCTAGTTCTGGTGGAAAAGAATAAAACACTAATGATGCAACTAAATGCAATTAGCAAATCAAATCAACCACTACTTTTAATTAAACACATCAAACAGTGATTCAAAATCCTACATCATGCTTTAAATTTAATGCTGGTTCTAATTGGAGATACTCAAGCCATGCAAGAAATTCCATGCTTTTTTAGCTGCCATTATTGGTTCAAAAACATTGTTTTGATTCCCCAATTTCACATACCTAAAACTCATTGCAATCACAAGGAACCTAACTAGGAGCAATTTCACATACCTACCTTAAAATCATTGCAATCACAAGGAACCCACAGCAAATAATATACAAAAGGGTAGCTGTTCATAATACATGGCTGTTCACTTCCTTCATACAAGAAGCAACCCAAAACACATAAGAGCTTCAGCTATCATCACTAATAATAAAATTTAGGATAGGTTAAATTAGAAAAATTATCAAAAGGATTTGGAGGTAGTGTGTAGAGAGACTACCTGTCCCGGTCGCTGCGGTTTGTAATATCCTGACTTGAGAAACTTCGACATACTTGCTCTCAATTTGACCCGATACAATAATTGCGAGATCCACCTTATGAACATGACCTGGATGATGAGGCTTCACCTAGGGAGACAGAAGTCAAGGAAGAAGCCCAAACTCTGGCATTCTTTGCACCATCATGAAAGTTCCTGGTCTTGCATAGTTTCAGCTTGGTCCAAGCCCGCTTCGCATCAATCAAGTGAACAACACGCCCCAATATTTGGCTCCCCCCTCCAAACATCTCCATATTGAAATGGGATACAAATGATACCCAGAAACCTTTAAAATGAGACATTGCTTTAGGGCATACATGTACAAGTATCCTTAAACAGATGAACAAGGTAGAGAGAACTAAGTAGGGCTCCCTTGCTAATATCTTATTTAGTGATGACCCGGTCCATGACTGCATAACAAACTTTTCACTGTTCCTCAATTTGATAGGTTGAGCCACATGGGCATTTTGAACTGGTTCAAAGCCTGAATTCTACATAATCAGTTAAACAGACCCCAAAAATTCAACATGATCTCATGGCCTGAGCTTAGCGATAGGGAGCTACAAATTGCAAGTGACTGCAAGGCATTGATTTAAAAGAAGTATTGGACCTAGAATCTTCTGGCCTCCAGTGTTGCCTCTTTGACCAATGACTTGCAGTCACTGCTCCCCATGACAGCATCAAGCCCATTAGATCAACATTTAATAGACCTAAAGGAAGAAGCAGAAATGATGAAAAAATTTAGTGTCTCAGATATATATACATTCATTAAATTCAGGAAACAACTACCTGTGGTTTTCTCGTAAAATTTCACAAGGGAGCGGAGATCTTTTGAACCACAAAATCTTGTTCTTGATGTCTGGTTCACAATTAATATAGTGGGCAAGCCATGAATGCCATATCTTGAAATTACACTGCAATATATGACCCACAGAAAGTGAATGAGTGTAGAACACTTTTGCAAATTCACTGCGACTACAAACAAGAACAGGTTCTCAAAAAAAGCTACACTTTTGTATAAATTACTCTTACTTTCATACAAGTACCAATTTCGTAGAGAGAAGAAATAAAGCAAGTTTACTCTCAAAAACAAAATATGTACCCTTGAAATGCTACTGATATGATGCCTAAGATTCTAGATTGAGTTCTTTTTTCAAGGATAAATGTTCTAAGTTCTAACAAAATCGTTAACATGAACTCTATTTTAATAACAATATGGTGGTAGAAGCAAGGCAAGTAACAACATCCATACTACCTTCCTATTTGAAGGAACAAAATACACCAATACAACTGAGGCTTAATCAGTATATATGAATAAACTGTTGATTGTTGCAAAATATGACTATATAATTCACTAAACAAAAGATCAGTCACGAAAAGCAAATCCCATAGCGGATAAAATAAAAATTAAAATTAAAAGTACATGATTATTTAAACAAAACAAAAAAAGTAATCAATGAGAAGTTAACCCCATGGAACAGCTTTTACATTCATAAAATGCAGAATTAGAAAGGGGCAATTACAGACTAGTTATATATTGTAAACCACTTTATAAAGCTCTTCAGACAATTATATATTACAGACCATTTTGGGCTAAAAAAATCTCAGTTCCAAGAGCCCTCCCCTAAAAGAATACTCTAGAAGATGGAGTATGGGCTGATTTCCTAGGACAAAATCAATATAATTTTGTAATCTTCTGAAGTAAAAAACGTTTAAGCCAGAAGTCATCCTTGTTTTTACAAGGGTTCTGATGTTCTAAGTTACAAAAGTTCTGATATTGTAAAAATTTATACCTTACATTACCCATGCTAGTTGCTAATTCATCATACTTCTGGTTCCAAAGGCTTTCAAGTCCAAGGACTCTCCCCTAAAAGAAGGATCTAGAGGACAGATTTCATATCGCTTTGACCATTTCAATCAAATATTATACTATTATAATATTTTGTAGCAAAAATTCAAGCTCTGTATCATCCTTTTATTAATCCAGGTGTTCTATAAGTTTCAAATTGCAAAAGTTTATTTTCATATTCAGTTTAGTGTTTGGACGTTCAAAGAGGAGAAAAAGAAGAAGAAACAAAGAGTTAGATATTCCCACCTTGGCATGGCTGAAGATTGTTCAACTGCCAAATGATCAATTTGAGGAAACATGGAAGCTAAGGCTTCAAATTTTGAATGGGCAGTGCGTGAAAATGGACACCATGACGCATAGAAGAGTACAGAAGTTTGCACATTCCCCCGTATAGAAGTCAAAGTTCTGTCAAGGAAGTCTCCATCTACCTGAAGATAACCAAAACCTTATGACCTATCAATATGTTTACTGCATTGCCAACAATGCTAAGAGCAATATATGAATCCCTGAGAGCTCATGCTGGCCCATCATTATTTCCTCATTACTAGTAGATGAAACTGTATAATATAAATGCCCGTGACAGAACATAAGCTAAGAAGGCAAGGATTAATATATGGCGTAAGATGACTCTTAATACAAGTCAGTTGCAAAACACAGCAAGTGAACTTAATTGAGTTAAATAACTTAAATGCATCAATATGAGATGTGACAGTCTTGATGAAAGATTATACATTCAAGAAATTTGGTTTAATTCCAGTAAATATTATTTTATAAATAGTTAGAGGGATTCACAGTGCAGATAAAACTCTAGTGAAATTGAATTGGACACTCTTGGACATCAAAGGTTAGAGAAAAGTTTGAAAGGCACAAGATGACATACCAATGAGAGTTGGAAATGTATTGGAAAGGCAGCATATTTAACAAAGTTGTACAACATAACTATTAAGTTGGTTTTAGTGCAATCCCACAAGTTGGCACACCAAGAAAGGTACATACGTAACATACCATGTTCATCATAGAGGGTAGAAACAAGATGACTTATTGAAGTCCTTAGATCCCTTATAGAGGAAAAACATAGTTATTTGAATACAATGAACATTTAATGGACTCATTAGCTACAGAGAAAAAAAAGGAAAAACACACCAGTGTGTGGACACACGGTGGACTCATTTTAAATCATATGCTGTGGGAACACAATTGTTGAATTTCTACGCAACATCCATACGGCCAAAAAAAAAAATGCAAAATCAAGAGATATAAACCATCATATACTTCCCCCACATACAAGATTTCTTTTTCTTTTTCTTTTTCTTTTCTTTTTTTTTTTTTAAAAAAAAAAATTATCTTTGCACCAGTTGTCATTTAAAAGAAGAATTTTCTAACAAACTATGAAAAAGAACAACTAAGTAAAGAAACAGGCATGAAAATTGAACATCAAGAAATCAGCGTTCACTCAACCATAAACAACCATCTTACCCACAACCTAAAAAGATTGAAGAGGCCCATTCAGCATTGATTTATCCTAAAGATTTTATTTTTCGATAATTTTGTCATCATCCAATTGTTCCCAAATGGGTCCATTCAACGATGTAAAATATCACAATGTCCCAAGGGCAGGTTCTTACGCGTTACTCACCCGTCCGCCACTGGACAACTGATGGAAAGGCTAAAGTAAAATAGAAAACCTCCGCATGGTCGTTAATGGCTGTAATAAAGTATATCATTGAATTCCTAAGGAGAAAAAACAGTGCTATTGGTGAAGACTGACACACAATATATATTATGATCTGATCATAAGTGTATTGTGATTTGTGAAGCTATAGAATTATAGCTGGCACACAGAAGAATAATAATAATGATGATGCTGATTGGAGGTAACCAAATTGAAATTCCCAATTGAGTAGGCTTACCTAGAGTAATCTCTTTGTTTTGGATATAAATGAGCTGACTGGGAACATAGTGGAAGCCCACTACATAATAATTCAGATGAACTAAATTATTTATAAGGATAAAGAAGTCCTAGATCACAAAGATAGGACTACCAGAACCTGCTTTGATTTACATAGCCTTCAACATGTATAACAATTAACAAGATATAAAGGAATGCCTCTTGCGACAAAAAGGGGGTGACAATATGTGTGTGTGTTTAAGTGGAGTACAATTAATTGAAGGGTAGAGAACATTGCTTTTATTGTTTTATCTTTACTAAGATGCGTAGTTAATTTTGTTTCATGCGTACAGATTACAGTATTAACTTGAAGAAAGAAAGGTGTACATTGATTTTTGAGTCATTAGACAGCAATTATGTTATTGTTTTATTTGGGATTTCTACTTTGTTTTTCATACTTGAATGTGATTTAGTTTTTCCTGTCGTTAGTCATGATTATATAGTACTCTATAAATAAGACTTTAGATTGTCATATAACTATGGAAAGGGAACAAATGCTATAATCAACAATATAACACGTCAAATCAAAAGTTAGTTTAGGTCAGTTTGTGCCAGTTAGTCATCATTGATTTGCCTAGTTATTGCCTCAAAAAACGTGATTGAAGAATGTAGATCGTGAAGATGACTTGAATTAACAGTCTTGATGATCTTGAACAGCATATAATTAGGTAAAGGTAAGTTTGACAGAATGGATCATAAAACTAAATCGTATTAAAATTAATATGATCAACCTGAACAAATGTCTACCACACCAAAGAAGTCTTGTTAAGTGTTTTTAAATGCAAAAATGTGTTATTTATCGGATTTAAACACTTTACACCTATACAAACATAACAAGTGTGAATGAAATAAGCTGGTTAAAATGGACAAACTAGTAATATCTTATGTGATGTCGTGATAAAGAGAATATCAAATAGGCTGAAATGAAATCTTACAAGCCGATCATTAGGTGAGGTATCTAATGTGCAGCAAAATGTTAGAGACACCGAGGTAGACTGAAACTAACATAATGGAGTGATTAAAAGACCTAAAGAAAGTAGATGTAATAGAAGAATAGAACAAAATGAAATGAGAGGATTCGGGTGGCCAAGAATTTGATTCAAATCAAAACATGGAAGTTATGAAAACCATCCTTGTAAAGTATGACATTGATAGTAATCCATGCATGACCAGAGATTAAAGGATATATCTTTCTATTTTGAGGATCAATCCATGTGTGTCCCTAGTGAGTTAATAAACAAATCAGAGTTGTTCAACTGTAAGAAATATATATATATATATATATATATATATATATATATATATATATATATAAAAGAATTTCTGATTTTGTAATCTACCTTTTAGAATTTAACTTGGACTAAGGTTCCAAGTTCCAAGTAATGTAAACGGGCTAGATGGCTTTCTCAAACATCTCGAGTGCATGAGAGCATAATTGGGCAAATAGGGAGTGTATTGCAAGTGTTTTCCTACGGACATAGTTTGGGAGATTTGGTAAGAACCTCAGAGCTTGTGCATTCAACATTGTTCTTGGAGCTTGGCTTTGAGATTGATTGATAGAGAGTTAGCAAGATTGTTTTCCCTCACTTCACAATACTACAGACCTTAGTGTCACTCTTTGCCTGTGAAGCAATATGTAGTAGAACAAGTGGACGGGTTATTGCCTACAAAGGATCAAAATGTGCGGAGATGCACTTATTGAAGAGACAGTTACAAGACTTGTGCAAACAAAGTTGGGCATACGACTTGATCAGAGGTAAATCAACTTCATTGATCCTTAGGTAAGAATATATAACTTAAAGTTGTCTTTTTTCAAAGTGGATCGGTTAGCGTCAAAACTAAGTCCCTCAAGTTTTCTCAGTTGGGACTTTTTCATATAAATATCTTGGTGTCATCTTTTTCATTGCTTAACTGATTGATTGGATGGTTATGCATAGTTGAATAATGGCAAATTAAATTGGACTGGCATTAAGGACGCTTGGAGGGCTACGCTGCTTTGTATCTGGTGGTGTATTTGGCTTGAGAAAAATAGGAGATATTTTGACGGAAAAAAGAAGCCTGTTTCTATGCTTAAGTTCTCTGTTATTTCTACTCTTTTTTGTTGGGTTTCAGGGAGAGATTATAGATCTATGGAGGAAATTATTGTTTTCTTGGCCTCTCTGAAGGTCTAAGGCGCCCTTTGGCCCTTTTGTTTCTTTGGGCTTCGCTCCCCTTTTGAGCGTTTTTAATAAATTCTTACTTATCAAAAAAAATAAAAAAAATTGGACTGAAAACTGGTAACTGATTAATCTTCCAAACCGCATCAGTCAAAAGAAGATTAATTTACCTCCCACTCTAGGTCCCTACGAATCCATCTAGATTCTTCCATTGTACAATTTCCATGGTCTCAAAAAGGAAAATGCATACATATTTTTTTACATATATATATATATATATATATACTGAATAAAGGTCCACCATCCCTAGAATCCAACTGTGTACCAAAAAACTTGTTTTTCAACTTTCATTGCCTCCTTCGCTTCATCAACTGAATATTCCTCCCAGAACACAGCACCAAACAAAATGAGGCTGCATTCCTGTGAAGTTTCTCACCTCTCCGGATATTGAATAAAAATGCCATTAGTCCACCCAAAACAACCAAGAGAAGGTGGCACAACTCCCTAACCACCTTACAATGAGATGATCCGCCAAGGCTTATATTAGAAATTAAGTAACGCACACGGTACACCTATTTACGATGCACTTTGAAGGGTAATACTTCTTCACATACTAAATAGCCCATTAACACAAATTACTTGCTTACCGTACCACGTACAACTTAAGGCTTACGCCTCAAACAATTTAGAAATTACTTCCCTGCCACAATTTTATAATTGATAACCCCTTGGTATGCCATATTATCCACCAAATGATTTACATTCAACGTCGCATCAAGAATTTTAATTAAAAAGAGAAGAAAAACAGAAGCTATCCTTCTCGCTAAGGATCAGATGTAATAATCAAGAGCCAGTTGTTCCCTTACATGCCTAAATGTTGAACACTTGAAGACTTGCAATAAACGATCCAATTTAATGTGTATATCATTGAAGTCCTAATTCATACAAAAATAGTTGGAAGACATATGAGAAAGAGAGGGACTAGAAGGTGCTGCTGAAAATAACTTCATAAGACTGGAATTAAGGACTTCTAGAACAAGAATATTAGAGGTCCTCATCTTCGACGCATCAGAAGTCACAGCAACAACCTCTCTCTGTCTCTGTTTAGCACAAGGCACATGCTTATACATGGTTAGCATTTCTAGAAGGGCATAAGTATGAATAATAAGCATAGTTTCCCTATTAGTTTGTGAACCCCTAACTGTAATTTGTGAAATGTTTCTTTCATACTAAACAAAGTTTCCCTCTTAGTTTTAAAACTCCTAACCGTAATTTGTGAAATGTTGCTTTCTCTGTAAAGGCATAAACAAGTAACCATTTCATACTAAGAAAGTCCAAAAGCCAATTCGGTTCTTTATTCTCAACTACTACTATATTTTATTATCAACCTAAACAAGACTTTAACTTCAAACATTCAAAAGTCAAAATATAACACCTTTATTCTGATTCTTTAATTTGTACACCACAAACTCTGTCTCGCCAAATCAAAAAAGAAAAATAATAATAATAAAAAGTAAAGAATTAAAAGAAATTTTATAGTAAAAAAAAAAAAAAAGCATCTGAATTAATCAACAACTACCAAATTTTTCAAATTAATGCTAAAATTTCCGCAAAGAGCAAAATTTATAATGATTAACCAAGAACAAATATGAAACCACGAGAAATGCATCAAATGAATACAAAAGAAACAATATTCCATAAATTGCTATTCGAATTGAACATCTGCAACCTATATGATTAAAGCAAAATTAAAACTATAAGTCGTAGTAATACGTTTATGTACTTGTGTGTGTGAAACCTTGAGCAGATAATCTGTGATCGTACCTGGAGAGGCGAATTGGGGGGAAACGAGAGAGGGCACTGAAATCGGAGAGCGTTGATAAACAAAGATGATTGGTGAGGGCACATGGAGATTGATGATGATGAGACGCGTCGTAGCGCATATACGGCACATATGCATATGAAGAGTAGATATGGCGTTGAAGTCGCCATTGGAGGGTTCAGAGAACCAGAAAACAACGAAAGGAATAAATGATTAACACAGCACACACAAAATGGTGAAGTTGAAAGACAACACCAACAACAATGTCTATCTGGTTTCTCTCTCTAAAACAGTATTGCTGTATGAGTGGGGTACTGGTATCCCTTTCGCTCGCCAATTCGATCTCTCCTTCCTCTCTAGTCTCTACCAACCTATTTTTTGTTTTTTTTTTTCAGCTTAGATGTTTATAATCTTATACCTCTCCTCTATTTAAAAAAAAAACGTAGAAGAGATACAGTGATATGATTATAATTATCGGTGGTAGAACTGAGTATTAGGAGGAGAGAATGAGTCAGAATTACAAAATAACATCAAAACATTATTCTTACTTTTTCTTGCTCTTTTTTTTAATGGGTGTTGATGAATGTGCCACATTACCTACTTGCGTGGCACAACCTACTCTAAAAAGGACACATCTAGCCAGAACCTATCTGGCCTGTCACTGAAAAAGAGACAAGTAACCTCAAGCCACTTGTTCCATAACTGGAATCACTAGCGAGGAAGGAGTCGCTACCCTTCACTCCCTTTGAGGACGTACCCCTGTCCAGACGGATGGGTCCCTCCTCCTTTCTTTGTTATTGCTCGAGGTTCCTTACTGCAGGTAGGACCTCAGGTGCATTTCACCTTTCTCACCTCGAGCCCCTATGCTCAAGGAGACCTTGAAAACCGAGATCTCTCCATTTCAAATTCCCCACCTTGAGTCTGAGGGGAACTTGGGAACCGAGATTTGCTTGTCCCGAGGTCCCACCACCTTGAATTCAAATAGACCTCGAGGGCCAAGTCTGGAGCGGGATCTTGCGGGGGCAAGAAGGCAGTACCTTGAGGAAACTCATTCCCCATCTCTGAGATCGGGAGTCTGAGAAAATGTGGATAGGTGGCTGGGACCCAAGGCTTCGCCTTATTCTTTCAAAGGCCAACACAAAAGGGAAAGGATATTGATACCCAGGGTCAAGTTCTAAATAGGTATGAAGAGATGCATTAATTGTGAAAGACAACTGACGTGACCTGCGTTAATTAGGAGCGCCGTTTCCCCTTCGGACTGAAGGGCAAAAGTGCCTCCGCCCACTGGGTAATACCCCATGTGTCAGAAAGAGGAGTCCTCGATCCTGTGGACAAAAGGAAGCTCACCTCTATGACTGATAGATATTATCCGTTCAGAGGCATTATAAATAGGAGGAGTTAATCAGCCTTAAAGGGGGGAGTTAAGAAAATCTAACAACTAATTACCATGAAGCTCGAGCTTACCTTGGTACAATAAAAATATTGCCTTTCCTTTCTTAATCTTTGAGTTTCAAGAGTCCTTTGTGTTGCTTGGATCCCCACTTGGATACTGATCTCAGCACTCTAGGCTTACGTGGAATATATTCCTCATTTTATAAAGAACTATCATCAACAATGGGTTAAGTGTTAAAAAAATAATAAAAAATAAAATAAAATTGAGGGTTTTAATCTTTATTTTTTTAAAATGTGCATATTAGTTCATAAAAATAAAAAATAAAAAAGTACAAATAAGCCCCACAAAAGCTAAATATGAAAATTCTATTTTACCCTTTTAATTCCCAATTTGCCCCAACCCTTATATGTGCATATTAACCCATACCCATTTCCTCCTCCCTCTCTCTCTAGGGTTATGATATATATATATATATATATATATATATATATATAAATTCTTTATGGAAAATTGTCAAGAAAAAAGTCGAAGGATAGAATAAGGAAAGTGTCTGGAGATTCCGTTGAGTGCTTAAGATGGATTATTTCTCAGAGATGTCAGCATCATTAAACTTGCCAGATAGGTTTTCTCGAAACATCAGGATTTGAGTGATGATCTTGATCATCTCAGTAACGACACCCAATAGGACACAGTCAGGCCAAGTTCCTCTAATCAAGGGAAATATGGCAGCAAATGCGTTATCCATAATATCCATCATTTGGACGGAGCACTCCTTTCGTGACCAAACCCCAGAAAACAAAGGTCTCAAAAGCTGGAAAAGGATACGAGTAAGATGGAATAGACGTACTCACAGCCACAACACCCAAGAGTGATGTGGCCTCTTTTTTTTTTTTAATTTTATTTTATCAATTCAATAGACATATAAAATAAAATAAAAATTATTTTAGGGTAAACACAATGGATAGACAAAAAAACATATATACACCAGAACAACATCAATATGAGAGAGAGAGATAAATTAAGAGTGATGAAAGGTGGCTTACTTGTGAGATGGTGAAAGAATCTACACCAGAAGAAAAAGCAGAGTATATATATATATATATATATATATAACACCCAGAAAAGCAATCCAAGTGGAGAACAAATTAAAAGGTTCACATGAAACCCATGTTTAAGCCCAATACAGATCGCACTCTCTGCCTTCAAATGGGTTTTCGCCATTTCGTAGGTACAAAAAGAGAGTGAAGAAGATTGATTTGCAATGAACAAAAATCAAAAAGAACCCAAAATATGTACTTCAAGTATGATGAGATATATGGGTTCAAAGGGAGGTCTAAGCTTAGACAGAGGAAGCAGGAGGAGGTGGCAAGAGGCAGCGGCTATGGTAGGGAGGAGGAGGCGGCGGCATTTTATACCACACAGTGACCTATTTACGCCAAATTGACAGTATATGGGGTTTTATACCACATATAGATTTTTTTGCATTATATTGAAAGTAGAGGGGTTTTTTTTGCACTTAGACTCTTTTTTAATCCAGGTAAAAAAACAAAAACTTCCTTAAAACAAAAGAAGATATTCTCTTTGTATAAAAAATGGTTAATTACAACGACACCCCCTGATGTTTGCCCTATTGACAGTTATATACAACTTAGCCATTTTTTAGACAAAGACACCCCTCAAGTTTGCAAACTTGAATAATGATACCCCAAACATGATGAAAGTACATGTTTACCCTTTGACCATGTAAAATGACCAAATTACCCTCAATCAAAAAATCTCTTCTTCCAAATTTTCCATCTTCCCATTCTTGTGAGCCTTTCTTCCCTACCGAGCATCAAAGCCGGCACAGCCCACAGCCGAGCTCTTCACCGTCCCGCTGTCACCCTCATCCGAGCCATCCACAGCCGCAATCTATTACCCTCCTTGAGTTACATATGGTCTATTTGATGATTACAAACAAAGCCCCAATATTTCAGTTAGTGTCATATAGATTATTGAGTCAATTTGAAGATAGATGGAGCTAGGGTTTGGGTGAAAAAAAAAATTGCAAAAAAGATAACAGGGTGGTGCGTGTGTGGTGATGATGGTGGATGGGTAGAGAGAACTCCATATTTTCCGGCGCATTCCATTCTTGCCGTTGTTTGCTTGGAGCATAGAGAGGTTAGAGAGAGAAAAAGTACAGGGTTTGAGAGAGCTCGCTACCATCATCCGCAAGCTCACAGCCAAAGCCGCAACCAACCCATCGCCGTCACAGCCAGCCTATCTCCACGTCGGGGGTCACAAGCCCATCGTCGTTCTGAGCCGAACCAGGCCGTCGCCCACGGCCCAACTGTCTGCCGTCCCCATCTCCCCACCATCCGAGTCGGCTGCCATCAAAACCAAGCTCGCAGCCGCCTCCATCAAAACCGATCTTCTTCTTCACGGCCAACTCCTCCACGGTCGTCGCCTTCTCCACAGTCGCAATCCGCCTTTGCTATCATCCACGACCGAGTCCACCACCGCTGCCATCTCGTCGCGAACCAGACCATCACGGTTGAGTCCTCCCCATAGCCTATCGCCGGCACCACCTTGCCCGAACCAGCCCGTCCTCACCGTCCGTGCATTTTGGGTGGACATCTATGGAGCACATTTTTTTGTCAAATATTTTATTCAATTATAAGGCTGTGTTTGGTCAAGTTGGACAGAAAGAGAAACGACTGAAAGAGAGAGGAGATGAGAGGGTAGTTTGGTCATTTTAGGTGAGGATTAAAATATATCTTAGGGCATATTAGACATTTCATATCACTTAAGGCTGTGTTTGGCTCCGTTTTTTTAAAATGGGGTGTCATTGTTCAAGTTTGTAAACTTAGGGGATATCTTTGTTCAAAAATGGGCTATGTTGTATATGGCTGTCAATATAGCAAACCTCAGGGGGTGTCATTGTAATTAACCCTATAAAAAAAGAATGTTCTTTTTTTGGGAGTAGTAATTTTTAAGGTGAAATGTGAGACATTTGTTATTTCCTAAAAAGTTAAGAACTTGTCTTTTTAAGTTTTGAATATTCAAATTTAAAATTTTAAACTCCAAGAACAAATATGAAAAAAATATATGAAAATATGTAAAATATATTGTTTCAAAAAGGAAAGTGGACAATTATTTTAAAACAATCAAATAAATAAATGAAAGGTATGAAAGTTATTAATTATTCCTTTCACATTAAATGAATTGATATTTTGATTTTAGTAATTTTTTTTTTTTTTTTTCCTTCTCTAGTACTAATATTCTTCTTTCTCTAAAAATCTAAATGGTGGGTACGTATCAAACACTTGGATAAGGCATTGATTAGGGTGGCCACAGATCAGATTGGATGACACCTAATCGATCCGATTCTAGCAAATTGAAATTTTTTGAATCCGCCACCAATCCATTATCCTATGGATCGAATTGGATCCATGGATTGAGATTTTTTCTAAATATTTCATATTATTTATTTTTTAACCACAATCCAATAAATAAAATTTTCAATTTATCATCGTTACTTCATATATTTAAATGATTATTAACTAATATATTATTAAAGTCCATTAAATGATCAATCATCAACTAATTAAATTAACTAATACATTATTTGAATATATATATATATATATATATATATATATATATAAATTTCACGGATCGGATCGGACTTACGGATCGAATTTTTAACAGCTCAATTTGTGATTCGATCCGTGAGTTACAAATTCAATTTTTTTGAATGCATCACCGATCCGTGGGTGTAATAATCTGATCTGATTAGATCCGCACGAATTGAACCGGATTGAGTCAGAACGGATTCACGGATTATTTGTCCACCCCTAACATTGACACCCGTTATATATATATATATATATATATATATATATATAGAGAGAGAGAGAGAGAGAGAGAGAGAGAGAGAGAGAGAGTGTGTGTGTGTGTGTGTGTGTGGGCAGAAAATAGCTAACGGACACGTCATGCACACTTTCAGGACACAATACACGTTATGAACACTTTTAAGACACGATAAAATGATTTTGTAATTATTTTTTAAAAAAAAATGAAATTCAATACAATTTACAATATATTGTGGGTTAATGCGAAAAATAATATAAAATTAAAAATAATTAACATTTAATTCTAAACTTTAAATTAGTCAAAGGAGATAAAATAAAGAAAAATGATTATTTTTCTATATAGTAAAATAATTATTTTTTTTCATTTTACAAAAAAATACGACGAGAGGCTGGATAGACAGGATAATGTGGTGGGGTAGTGACAGAGATGGTGGCGGTGAATAGGTGGTTAGAGAGGGAGGGAGGGTGGGGTTGTGTTGTGTAACTTAATACTGTTGCCGGGTTTTTTAGTTACTTCATTTTTAATTTTGTAATTAAAAAAAAAAAGTTAAGTGCAAGAAACATCTTCACTACTTATTAGTATACAGGTGTTTGTTGCACTTAATCTATTAAAGAATGCATTAAAACAAGGGGTAAACATGACATTTCATACGGGGCCATTCTCGAATGTAATTAGACCAAAATTCAGGGGTGAAATTATATGTTTTTTTCATTTTTTACTTCAAAAGTTTTTAACAATTTTTAAAACAAAAAGAGAAAGGAAAAAAAAAAAGAAAAAAAAAAAAGAAAAGAAGAAGAAACAATCTATATATAAACCAGTCATCAAAAAAAAAAAAAAAACTATATATAAACCATTTTTTTTTTTTTTTTTTTAAGCACTTGGCAGAAAACAAACAGAATAAAAGAGGGAAATAGAGTTAGGGTTTGGTGAGGGACGAAGCTAAATGGAAGTGATAGCAGAGAAGAAAGAGTCCGATAACAAGAATTCACTCGTTGATCATTCATCAACGCCCACTTTTGATAAAGAATCCGAAGATCGCGAACGCCAAGCTCGCGATCTCAAAGCTGGGCTACATCCTCTCAAGGTCTCTCTCTCTACATATATATGTGTATTTGTGTAAACATCCTTTGCTTTCTTTATCTTATTTCGGACTGCTGCTTTATAGATTTTTGTTCCATGTTTGGTTGTTTCTATTGTACGTGATGGGATTTCTGTTTCACATATGAATCAAGATCTTGATTTATATTTTAATTTAGATTTAAGTTTCATTCTCGAGTAGATATCGTTGGTTCATTTCGACATGAATAATGAATTTGTTTTTTTTATCTATGCGTGTCTATTAGTGTGTGCATGCTTAATAGTTGTGTTTCTCTGTGGATGTGTTTGTATATTTGCCTGCACGGACTATAATTCGTCTTGGAATTGATCGGTTTAGCTAAATTTCAACCTAAATACGTGTATTGGTATTTGTGTTTGTAGACACTGCTAAAAAGGATCATTTGGAAGAGCAAGATGATTTTGAACATAAAATTAAAGCATGATTGAGGGATATGAGGTTTTTGAATTGTAGGGTGGGATGCCCTGTTCATGGGCCGCCATAGGACTAGGTGTAGGGTAAGATCAGATTTTGTATTAGGATGTGGATGGTTGGTTGAAACTTGGTATGGGTGAGATAGGGAAGTTGTATTATTATTAATTTTTTGAGGTGAGGTATTCCCAGTGGGAGCTTAAGGAGTGGATAAGAAGGGTTTCATGGAGACCAGTTTGGTTCACGATGGCCCCTCCAAAAGTTGCAAGGATTTGATAATTTCTTAAAGTTAAGACATAACTATTAACTGTTGCACACATGTACGCCCGTGGGGGGCATCTTTCTCTGCGTTCTCAGTAGTGAGGATTCATGGGCTTTTCTTCTCGTCCTTCTTTGCAGTTTGATGTGATTTGAGCATCAAATAAAAAAATCTAATGTATCCATTAAAAGCTCAACATAGTAAATTCAAAAGAAAAAACAAATATTTGGGAACAACACAAATCCCTCCCTATTGTAAGGGTGGGGGAATAATTGTAAGAAAGACACTGAGGTAGAGAGAGTTTAAGTGGATAAAGGAAGAGGGGAGGGAAGAGAAAATTATTCGATAGGGCTCACAGAAAAGCAATTTTCCAAACCTCATGAACATATCGCGAGAGAGAGAGAGAGAGAGAGAGAGCTTAAAGTTCGCTTAAAATTTTCTCTATAAGAAGTCTTGTATGGGTTCCTCCTTGTTACAAGGTCAAAGTAGATAATATTAGAGATACCAAAACACAAATGTGAGGGATCAAGAGAGAAGTTATGGATGGAGGAGAAGTAGACTAGCCAAAGGGACCTTCTGGTTATTTGGCAAATGTTAAAATGAAGAAACGTTCAATTAATCCGTAAATTACATAATTTTTGTAAAAAATGTCATTGAAAAGATATACATGGATATCTTTCTATATATCATTAATATTCCTAGAATCAATACACAACTTTTTCTTGCATCAACAAACAAAATTATTGATAAATACGTTTACAATAATAAAACAAATCAAGAAAGAATTGCGAAAAGAAATAAAAGGTAGGAATGTTTTTCTCTGTATGTAAGTGCAGGATCAATTACGTTGCCTTTAATGCTTGCTCTAATGTTGATATTTATAGTCTGATGTCGTTGGTATTACCCGTTGGTCCTTGAGGGGGTTCGGTTTTTTTACCCGAGACGTACCTTGCTAGGTCATGATTGGCTTAGACACCTAAGGGGTCCCATCATTCCTTAAACCATGACTCTGTTTTTGCGTGGTGTGTTAACCCTAATGCAAACATTAAATGCATTTGGCGCTTCGGCAGTGGCGGTGGTTGTAAACATTAATGACTCTCATCATAGCATTAAACGTGATTGTAAGGGTCTCTGTCTAGGCACGTGATTCACTATCCGTTTGGCGAGGCCTATGCTCAAACCTATGAATGCTCTGACTTCTCACCCTCCAATCCAAAAATTAGTTGTGAGTGCTTGAGATGATCCTACCCTTGTAACGTTTTGTGCCCTCAACTTTGAATCAGTGTGTCCTCGGTGACCTAGTTGTGATTCTAGGGTTTTATTTGTACTCAAGAATTGTACTGTCGAGGTTTTGTAACCTGGCATATCACTAGGGCCTTTTACTTGTACTCAAGAGTTGTATCTTCCAGGTTTGATGACCTAGCGTGTTTGCTAGGGTTTTGTTTGTGCTTGAGAATTGTGTCTTTGAGGTTTGATGACCTAGCCTGTTTGCTAGGGTTTTCTTTGTGCTCGAGAATTGTATCTTTGAGGTTTGATGACCTAGCCTGTTTGCTACTTGAGAATTGTATCTTTCGAGGTTTGATGGCCTAGCATGCTTGCTAGTGTTTTGTTTGTACTTGAGAATTATATCCTCGAGGTTTTGTGACCTAGTCATAATGCTAGGGTTTTGTTTGAGAATTACATTCTCAAACAAAATGGTGACCCGGCAAGGTCTATTGATACATTTTGTTGACCCTACAAGTCCTTCGTGGCTTTGTCCTATAACGCGGGCTTTACAAAATTCTAGAACAACTTTGGGCTTTACGAGTCCCTAAAACAAGTCAAAGCATTCTAATCTTATATGTTCTTTTTAGCATCAATTTATTGTACAATATAGTATTCCTAAAATCTCTAATACTTGGTAAAAGCCACTACTCAAATGTTTGTTCCATTAATCTAGGGTGTATTGGGAGGATGGACTTAGTACAAGAATAACATTTGGCATTATTTGCATACTGGCTTCCTTGGACTCAAACTATCTTTTTCGAGCTTGAATTAGCGTAATTTTCATTTTTTTTTTATTTTTTATTTTTATGAAAAAACTTATGAAATTTCCATTTTGTTCTTATTAGTTTGCCCTCCCTCATTCTCATTCTCTTTTTCATTCTTTTGGAATGAAGTTTTGGTAGTTATGTCTCTCTCCTAAAAGCTTGTACCTTTCATAGTAGACGGTGGTGGTTGTTTTTTTTCTTCATATTAGTATGTGCAATTGAAAGGTTGTTCATTAGGGTTTAGGAGACATATTAGTTGTGCTATATTTTCACTTACGCAATCATCTTGTTATTCTTTCCTACTTGTTTGTTCTTATTTTGCTATTGAAGGTCTCTTTTTCCCTCATCTCTATCTAGACACATTACTAAAAGAATTACTGTTCTAAGCATAACTCAGGTAACTTTTTTGCTTGTGATGGTTGGGGAATTTTCTCTATCACGTTTATCATGTCAATATTGAAGGCCCCGCCCTATATTTAGATATTTTCCAACTATTCATTTGGAAATTTTTAGTGACAATATCAGCCCTTATATTCATTTAAATACATAAAGCAAGAGAATGTAAATCCATCAGGATGAATAAATGTTAGGGATAGATGAATATATTTATACGCGTTTAATTCATCTTGTTCGTTTTCATGTTTAATTTTTTAATTTTTTTTTAATGTCTATGCTTATAGTGCCACTCATCTTTCTTTAATGTTTCTATAACCAGCACAAGTTTGTATTTTGGTACACTCGTCGAACACCTGGAGTTCGAACTCAAACATCATATGAGGACAATATAAAGAAAATAGTGGATTTTAGTACGGTAAGCTCCTTCTATATATGTTTAAATATTATTAGGCTACGATGCTAACCAATCATAAATCTTTACTTTAATTAGTTTTACTAGATTTATATATTTTGGTTGAGTGTGTTGCTTTTGTTTTATAATTATCTATTTACAGGTTGAAGGATTTTGGATCTGCTATTGTCATTTGGCTCGTCCCTCATCTTTGCCAAGCCCTACTGATCTGCATCTTTTCAAGGATGGAATTCGCCCACTATGGGAGGTAAATATTTGATCCTGACATTCCATTTCTTGTGATAATTAACGATAGTTTTTTCCTTCTTCCACCCCCTTCCTCTTTTATGCTACACATTATGAATTTGGGAAATGATAAATGTACTTTTTTTTTCTTTAACTAAATGACTTAAATGCCCCGTTATACTTCATTCTCAAGAATGCAATAAAGGACGATAATGTTAGTTCACATTCAAAGTGGAGTGCATTCCCTTTGAATCTTTACCCAACACAATTTACTGATTCTATTGGAAATTATTGTTTGATCAGGATTCTGCTAACTGCAATGGTGGTAAGTGGATAATACGATTCAAAAAGACCGTCTCAAGTCGCTTTTGGGAGGATTTGGTATGTTGAAAGGACAATTAGTTTTTTTTTTTCTTTTTTCTTTTTTCTTTTTGACACTGTATTTAAAGATTTTTAGTTGATTTTTCCGTTCACCTTCAAGTGTTCTGCATTTATTACCGGCCAAGATATTCCCATGAAGTGTGCAATTTATTATGATTTTCTTTACTGTCTCACGCTATAGCGTTCCAATATCTTTGACAGTTTGCATTTTTTTCCCCTGGAAGGTAACAGTTTGCATAATTTAAGCCTTTCTCCCAGCATATATATATATATATATATATATTTTTTTTTTTTTGGATATTCCCACAATTAGAGATATTAGCATACTTGGAGATTTACTTGGCCAGCCGTGTACGGAATGCTAGCCCTCTCTACTTTAAAACTTCGTGCACCGGGGGCCAAATAATTCCAAATTTTGGACTAAATTTCCTTTGACTTATGAATTGATGGTAAATCAAATTTTAAATCTCCTATATTACTTCTAACTAGTGCCTAAACATCCCCATTTGATATACGTGAGGTGGAAATGTTTAAGTTCCATTCCACATGGGGCCTTAAGGATCATATCTGGATCCAGTAAGGCTTGATAAATGTGTCATCTGATGTATCTTATCTTGTATTTTGTTTTTGGGAAATCATATCAGGGTGAACTGAAAGTGGCTTAACCTTGTGTTGATGTTTGGGAAATCATATCAGGGTGAATTTAAAGCGGCTTGATTAAATAAACCTGTGTGTTGGACAGCCATGCATTACAATGATTGGCTTGGTTCATGTGCTCAACCATTTAATTTAACTTTAGAATGCTATCTTTATGTGCATGGAGTGGGAGATTCAAATGTATTCGTTTACGAAGCTCTGATAATCTGAGGAAGCTTGTGTGAATAGAGTTAGACTCGGACCCCCCCTTTGTTGGGTATGTTAGGCTAGCTCATGGCTTTGAAGCTGATAACGTACAGAAATGAAGGAGGTGTGTAGTCTGCAATGTGAATGTGGTTGTTAGCTGACAGTAGACATGATCCTTTTTTACTTTTACTACTAATACATTGCAGCCTTCTGATAGTGCTGCAGTACACTATCAATTTTATAGTTTTGACATTTTGCAGAAAACTATTGCATTTATTGTATAATGTGGCTAATTATTCTCTCCACAATATTGTAGAATTTTTAATTATTTGTTCTCCGGGAATTCTCTTGCAGGTTATAGCATTAGTTGGTGACCAACTTGATTATGGTGATAACGTATGTGGTGCAGTACTAAGCATTCGTTTCAATGAGGATATATTGAGCGTGTGGAATCGGAATGCATCTGATCGTCAGGTTTACTACTGCCAAGTCTCAGCCATCATTTATGTTTACACAAATCTGCAGGCCAACAATAAATTTATTAACCCTGCCTTACTTTTGAATAGGCTGTAATGGCTCTGAGAGATGCGATCAAAAGGCATTTGAAGCTTCCCCACAGCTATGTAATGGAATACAAGCCCCATGATGCTTCTCTGCGTGACAATTCGTCGTACCGAAACACTTGGTTGAGGGGATAGAGATGTGCTGGATCCTCTCATTGCTCTGCCAGGTACTAATGCAGAAGTTGCATATCCGTATACCTCTGGCTGTTCTGTTCTGGTCCTCACGACTGCAACCAGTGAATCCTGTTTTATGATCCAACATCGGCCATCCATTTGGGTGCGCACGGATGACAATCATCAATATGGATGTGTAGGATGTTATCAGCTTTTATTTATACAAATTATATAATCCGAACTTCTGATATTAGTTGTCTATTGTTGTATGTGTATGTAAGAAACAGCCCTTGCCTTGACTGAGGTTTGGTTGTCTAAACAATCTAGTCTCCAAGTTCAGAGATCTCATTGGTTATGGCGCTCTCCAATTTTTTGGTTTGCTAGTTGTTACACTCCACCTTTTCACAGTAGTTTGACTTGTAATTTAAGAAATTGGGTAACACGGAAAAGAAAAGTAGAAAGCTATATAGAGGTTGCTCATAATGTGATCAACAGGACAGCTCATGATTAAATTTTTTTGGGGTAAGTGCAAAAAACACCTCTGAAGTATATATTTCGTAACACTTTTGTTTCCTATTTGAAAAGGTGTGGAAAAAATACTCCTATTCTTTTTACATTTTACGAAAATACCCCTTCAATAAAAAATTTGATATAAATTAGTACTATAATGCCAAATTTACCTTTTTACTCTTTCAACAATGCCCATACCAAACTTTGAACTGGTTCAATCTCAAACTAGTTTAGGATAAGGAAATACCTGTAACCAAACATCCTTTTTCTCTTACACCTCAAGCAGTGGTTGGTTCGGGGCGTACAACATGGCGGCGCAGTTTCCGAAGGCGGTGGCGCGGGTGATGATAGGATGCCCTATATTTTCTCTCTTTATACAAACCACAAGCCCTAATTTTCAAAGACATGCATATGGATATGGTCATGTATATATACATATATGGGGAAAAAGATGGATTAAGGTCGCAAAGATGGGGTGTTGAACCCCATATTAAGGTCGCAAAGATGGGGTGTTGAACCATTATAGCCACCAACCCCATATTTTCTCTTTTTACGAACCACAAGCCCTAATTTTCGCATACATAAATACGGTCATGTATATATATATATACACATATAGAGGCGGTGGCAGAGAGCAGCGAAGAGGATGATTGCAGATCGCTGTGAATTGACTGCCATCGTCGCGATCAATATACAGTAGAGTATCACACCGCCGTCGCTGTTCGCCTGCTCGACGGTGAGCTTCTTGCTTGGCATTCGTTCCATCAAGTAATGCAGTTTGATTGCTGTTCGTCGCCGCCGATATAATTAGTCCGTGCTTGAATCCTTGCTCATTGATCCTCTAGTTCATGTCACTCTAATGCTATGTTTGATTGGAGGGAAGGATTGAGGGGGATGGATGAGAGGAGGGATGGATAAATTTTTTCGTGTTTAGTTGGAGGGAAGGGAAGAGAGGAAGGAAACAAGAAGGGATGAAGCATCCCTCCTTCCTTTATGTTTTTCTATCCGGCCACTTTTGGGAGGAAGAGAGGAGAGAAAGAAGGCATAACTACCTATAAATTTGTAATTTACAATTTTAACCTTTTAATAAATTTTGAAATAAATATCTACCTTTTATAATTTTATATAAAATGGTGTATTGGTAAAAATAATACAAGAACTCTCCTTCCGTTTCTTCCAACCAAACAAGAAAAAAGTATCACTCCATCCTTTCTACTATCCATTCCATTCAACCAAACATAAAATGGGAAAGATACCCTCCCTTCCCTAGGGATATAACATCCATTTCTCCCCTTATCTCTTCCATCCATTTTTCCATCCCTCCAACCAAACGAAGCATAAAGGAATGAGATATAAACTGGAATCTGCATGATTATGGGTGGTTGCGAAGCCAATCCGTCCGAAAGTGCTCTGTGGATGATGATGAAGCTTAGCCGGGAATTTTTTTTCTCCTCATTGTATTGGAGTTGAGAAGACGGGTTTTGGGTACTTTTTTGTCATTTTAGATTATATTATTATTGTTATATATTTTATAAAATGTGTCATTAAGGGTATTTTAGTCCAATTTTATCTTAAATGTGTAAGGAGGATCTATTTGCATAAATGTTATAGTTTAGGGGTGTTTTTTTGCACGGAAGGGGTGCAATATGCACTGTATGCATACTTGAGTAGTGTATTCTGCACTTGACCCAAAAATTTCTGATAAGAATTTTTTGACTATGTACTTATATTTACAAATCTTGTGAGATATGGAACTTGATTTTGTAGGTTTGATGTTTTAATTTGTAAGCACATTTATTTGTTTATTTATTATTATTATATCATTATTTGAGCTCTTACAAAAATAGTCTCTAAAAATAGCTCTTACAAAAATAGTCTCTAAAAATCTAGTTGTGTTTAGTGAACCAAAACTTCCTCAATTCTCGCAACTAAAAGTGGTAAAGTGTGAGCCTTCAAATCTCCAAAGGGTAAAAGTGAATGTGTGTACGAATGCATGACAAAAAGTGGGTGTGTGTGCACGCTCTTGCCTGGCAAAAGTTCAAAATCTCTACCACTGAAAAATTGTTTTATTTTTGTTACCAAACAAGAGAATTTTAAAATTAAAAGTACACAAACCATATTGATTAGACAAACAAATACACGTAGCAAAATTTTCCAGAAACAGACATTTGTAAAGACTAGTCCTGGATTAGCTAGTTCAGGCCCGAGGTTGAGTTGGTCACCACATATCAAATATTTTCCCATGGCCACTTAAATTATAACTTTTTGACGTATATCTCTATTATTTATGCCACATTAATTTTTTTTTATCCTGTCACACAAATTTTTATTGATGTGTATAAAAGGATAGCCAAGCTTGTACAGACCTTCAAGGTTGAGTCGTCTTCTTATGATGGAGGAAACATATTCACATGAGAAGACAGGAAACAGAGTCTGGTGAGTGCATTTTATCTTTGATGATATTATTTTTTATTTATTAATCATAACGTATATAATAATAAAATTGTGTCACGAGTGAGATAATCGTAAGTGATAAGACTTGAGTATTATTCGAGATATGATAAATTTTTTGAAACTTAAACATGACGTATGGTGATACTTTACTAGCTTAAATTGGGCACGTGTTGCCCGTTTAACTAATCCACCTCAATTTTTTTTAACTAGTTAGCTAGGATCAAGGTAAAGAAAATAGAAATAAATAAATAAATTGTAATGTTTTTGGTAACATACTTACCCCACTTCCATATTTTGGTCAAGGAAACAACAGCTTAGGAGTTGAACCCGAGAGTTTTTGGTTTGTACCCAGGCTCGATGTCCAAACTATAGGATGTGTCCTATTGAGTCAAAGAAAAATTAAGTTAGGGTAATGGGCCACAAAAAAGAAAACCCTGTTATATAGATAATGTGCAAGAGATACTCGTTTTTTAAAAGTGCTTACAAATCTTTGTATTTAATTTTAACCAATAATTTTTTTTTTAAATAAAAATTTCAAAATACACTCGAGGGCAATTTATTTTCTGTTTACAAATTTTTTACAAAATTCCAAAAATCTCAAAAAAAAATTTAGTAGAATTTTTAAAATCAATATATTTTTTATTTTATCTAAAGAACATTTTAGATATTTTTATTTTTAAAATTGAAGAATTGTTCTTAAAATTAAATTTTGGTTAGGGTTTAGCTTAATTAAATTAGTTATACCGACCAAGGAATTGGAATTGACGGTTGTGCCATAAAGTTTACAGTAGAAAAAAGAAGCATATACATAGATTATATTCCTTTCTCTCTCTTTGTGGCAATTCCTAGTTGGAAGCAGGCAGGAAATTGTTTCCATTTGCGGCTAAATTCCAACAAACCCTACAAAAACCTTGTGAACTCGACAAAATTGACCTCCAAAACTGTGAGACTAGTAATATTTATTTTTTAATGGCAAACCATACCGAGACTAATTTTTAATGGAGAAAGGGCAAACATCTGGTTCTGTCTTTAGGGTACATGCATTGGTCAGATCTCTTGAACTCCACTTTTAAACCCTATGTGTATTTCTATGAATTTGTTAGTTCCCTTGAAAATGCGACTTTAACTGGTACGTATTATTATTTATTGTTACACAATTTTTTTCAATTAGGTTATGTTTGATACAGGGGAAAAAATAATAACATTAGTTATGAGTAAAATGTTGGGGCACAACGGAAGCAAAAGAAAGAAACAATGTCAAGAGTTTGTGTGCATGGTCCGTTGTTGAAATTCTCTACTATTGTAATATTTCTACGTATACAATAAATCTCCTCTCATCCGTGGATGTAACCCTGATTTTGGGTGAACCACGTATATTTCTTGTGTTGTGGTTTGAATTGTTGTTTTTGTTTCTTTCTTTTGCTTCCGCTGTGCCCCAACAACTGGTATTAGAGCCAAAGGTGAAGGAGATCCAGAAAACACAAGAAGTCTCAACATGTGCTACAACGGGCTTCAGTTGTAGGTGGAGTCAATCGGCTTGATTACATGACATGGAGCTTGAGTAGTCAAGGTGGAACCTTGGGGTTTGACTGATTAAGCAATGTATAATGAAGGGATAATCCGAGTTCTGCAATAAGATCGCGAAGATTGAAGTTGCAGAGAATTGTCTAGATTCAATTGCCATAAGAAGCGATTGACGTAATGGAATTTGAGCTAAGGTGGAGATTGTTAGGAATTATGTCTCAAATTCCCATTATTATTAGTTTCCATTTTAGAGTGTAATTTTATGGTAATTTCTTATAAAGACGTGAATTGGGCTCTAAGAAATTGTAATCCTTGTCCACAAAGGAATTGGGTATGTGACTCTATAAATAAACACTTAGGCTATTGTTGACATTCATGAGTTGAGACAGATGTAGCCTCATGAGGGAGTACGATGATGGTAGGAGTGAGTTACGAGTTTGGTAGAGTGAACACTGATGGCGAGAGGGAGTTTCGTGGCGTACACAGAGAACTCGGTCAAGAGTTTGTGTACATGGTCCGGTGTTGAAATTCTTTACTATTGTAATAGCTCTACATATATAATAAATCTCCTCTCATCCGTGGATGTAACCCTGATTTTGGGTTAACCACGTATATTTCTTGTGTTGTGGTTTGAATTGTTGTTTTTGTTTCTTTCTTTTACTTCCGCTGTGCCCCAACATAAAAAGAAAGAGAAGGGAAGCATAATTTTAATCTCTTATCGTGTTTAGTTGATTAATGAAGGAAAAGAAATGAAAAGATAATAATCATGTTTGGGAAAAGAAATAAAAGAAAATTATTTTAATAAATTTATTATTATACCCTTTTATATTATAAAAAATAAATTTATAGATTTAACTCTCTAATATA